TCAGAGCCGGATTAAATAAATGGACTACACTAGCCAGGCTGCATTTTTGCCCCCCCCCCCCCCCCCCCAAATTGGTTGGTTGTATGCCAAAATAAGTCATGTGTTGTATGATAAGAATTCTATCAGACAATTGTTTTATATTAATAATTTATACGTCATTACACAGCTGTATTAAATGCTAATAAATTATCCTCATCTTATCCATTGGGAGTGTCATTGTCAAGGCGGTAGTGCCAGTAAGTAGTACTCTGTCATTAAACAGAGCAAATATGTTTCTCTTATTTGCTCTGTTTACATTTAATCATGACATTTAATTAAAAAGATTTTCTGCTAAATACAATAGCTTACAACATTTATAAATGTTGACAAATTAATCACGATAGTGGAAAGACATTCAAGAATAAATAGATGAATTTGCATGGACTGAAGCATGTTTTAAAGGCGCAAAAACAAACTATAAACATGCAGCCTAAATTATTACAGTATAAATTTAATACAATCTATAATCTTAAAGGGGCATTATGGAAGTTTGACAGCCAAAACATGTATAGAAATAACAAATTTCTTCTTCTTACATTCTCCTGCAATGCCCTGGTCCATCCTGATCAGATGGGTAACTTGTTAACACCCTTTCTGGGTCTAGAGGCTCCTGTAAGACAACATTAGGCTCACTTCTGTCTGGCTGCTGTTCTTCCAGTTCGTCCTTCTGTGACGGCGTTGATGTTGACGGTGTTGGCGCTACAGCATCTTCCACCGCATTTCCCGCCGCATCTTCCACCGCGTCTTCGGGCCGTGTCTGCTCCTGGTTTGGCTTGAGCCCAGCCTCTGGCTCTGCTGACTCGAGCAGGTTCACAGCTGTCAGAAGGCTGCCCGAGCAGCCCGACAGAAACTTCTGTAAAGCCCCGCGCTGTCTCTTCTTTTATTCCTCTTCATTTTTTTTTCTTTTACATTTTGCCGCACCCGAAAGCATCGTGAAAGTTAGCCTACTCAAAAACACCTGCTAGCATTGTTGTGTCCCGCTCTGGCTCTGACTGCTTCTCTGACTTCCTTAATTGGGTGGCGCCCAAGTTGTAGGCTACAGTCATGGGCTGGCGTTAATGTGATGCAGTTAATGTAACGGTCCATGGTTAAGATGAACATTGTCACTATTTTTAGTTAATTAATAAATATTGAAATAAACTGTAGATAGGAGTCCTGTCTACAAATTCTATCGTAGGACATTTGTACATTATTTATTTATTTATTTTTAATTTTGCCCCTTTGTCTGGGCCCCATCCAGCCAATCAGGCCCTAGGCACGTGCCTACTTTGCCTTTGCGTTAATCCGGCTCTGCATATAATTCATTTGGCCCTCCACCTGGAAAGACTTTACTTTTGTCACAAATGCATGAAAATAAAAAAGCTTGAAGGTTCGCTCGGGTGAAACTTATTCAAGGAAAACAAACCTCCAGTCATCTCTAACTAAACCTTCTAGGTTATCGTACCCTGGATGACTGAGAATCTGCACAAACGTGTGGAAAAAACCTTTATTATCATTGTTGTTACATCTCACAGCTTATCCAAGAACTGAGATATTGTTCAACTCCTCGACAAAGCCAAATATTACTAAGCCTTTCTTGAACCTGACTCTATATTCACTTTCAATAATATTTTTAAACTAATTGTGTTTTAGACTAAACAAAGTTGACATTGTTTTTGTCTTTAGTGGCTTGATATTACATTTCCGACCCAAACTGAGTGGGATGTTAATTTCTTAATATATTTACCTAATAAACCCTGACTATAATCTGAAAATATCTTTTTTTATTTTTTATTTTTTAGTTTTCACCATTTGCCAAGGGCTCCAAGCGTTACATGCTGTCCACTGGAACTGATGCTACTGTCTGTTTCTGGCAGTGGGACGCCAACAACATCAACTTTAGGTGAGCTGTGCTTTTATTAAAAACACGTTCATTTTAAATGGTGACATTCAGGAAATGTGCTGCAATTATCTATTAAAATTCTCTCTTCAAATGTTGTTTACACGTAAGGCTGAGGGTTTGAATGTTATTTTTAAAAGCTCTAAAAAGGAAGTAAAGGTAAAAGAGCTGCTGTGGTGTTCAGAGCCTCGTGGTATTTAAACCTTATTTATTTATTTATTTATTTATTTATTTATTTATTTATTTATTTCCAAACTGTTGGTTAAATGAGTTTATGGTTTTCTTAATAGAAGTTAGAAATGCTTAAGGTAAGCTTTGATTATTTATTTATTAGCCTTTTTAAAAACTTGTTTTTAAAAATAAAAGCTGAATATTAAAACACAAACGACATGGGGAGATTTATGTATGTAAAGTGGAAGGAGCCTTGTTTTTTTCTTCATGCCGACAAGGATCTGTTTCCTTTTTGACTCTTGTCAGTTGAACTTTATTTTTTTTCTTGTTATATTTTTAAAAATATTTTTTTCTTCCCTCTGTTGTCTTTCAAGTGATCGGCCATACAAATTCACGGAGCGGCCAAGGCCGGGGGTTCAGACCGTGTGCTCCTCCTTCAGTCCTGGTAAATAACGTTTTTGTTTTGTTTCCTACTTTGTTTTATTTCTTAAGCAACTCTCAGATCTTTGGTTTTTGTTGCATTTGGGTTGAAGAATTGAAAACTTGTTTTTTTTTTCTAATGATTTTATTTCAGGTGGGATGTTCTTAGCAACAGGAAGTACCGACGATGTTATCAGGATATATTACCTGGGAAACGGGAGTCCAGAAAAGATTTCTGAGCTCCATGAGCACACGGTTGGACGGGACTGTTTTTTAAATAAGTTTAGTTTATAACCCGACAAAATCCTGATACATTAACTCATTACAGATGTGTTTGATTTCTCTCTAGGATAAAGTTGACAGCATACAGTTTTGCCACTCAGGTGAAAGGTGAATAAATATCTTCTATGTATAAACCGTTTGTGTGGTGTGTGTGTGTGAGAGAGAGAGAGATGTGAGTCATTACTGGATTGTAAGTTGCGCTGCTGTCTGGTTGCAGGTTTGTAAGTGGAAGTCGAGATGGAACGGCACGGATCTGGAAGCTCCATCAGCGTCAGAGGTGGAGGTGCATCCTGCTCAACATGTCTGCCACTCTTCCAGGGTACGGACTCGTTCTTGTGCTGCTGTCAGCCGAGGAATCGGTTCATCCTTCTGTTTACTGTCAACTATTAGACAAACAGTCACTTCTTTGTTAGGAAATTTGACTTCACTTTCACCTTTAACACTTCAGCTTGTCCTCTAGTTTTCACACCTGTCTCTGTTTGGATGTAAACAATCTTGTTTACTCTCTTATGTGGAATGTAAACATACATGAACCTTGATGCTAACCGGTTAGCTAAAGCAAGGCGTTGCAAAAAGCAAAACTTGGTGCAACATTATTTTACATTAACTCATTCACTGCCAGCCATTTCCAGATGTGTAAAGCCCTTCGCTGCCAGCGTTTCTCACCATTTTTACAGTTTTTTTTAAGAGTCAGAGAATGTTGCGCAGTAGGATGATGTCAACGCCAAAACAAAGCGGAGACTCACCTCTTACATTAAGAAGAATACACGTGTTTCCAGCATTATCCGTTCTTTCATAATCCGTTGTTGAATTGTGATCGGCAGACACTTTTCCCGTTTGCGCCTCACATTTTTTTACAGGAACGGCCCAAAACGATCTCCTAACACATGGGTTTTCTGCTTCCTGATCACGTGACGTGGGACTTATGCAGATGAAGATCGGCTTCAGAGCTGAGATGTTTGTTTTCTCCGCGCGGGGCTCGTTCCGATGCCCACACAGTAAAAAGAAGTGCAAATGATGACTTTAGTCGTCAGTGGCAGTGAATGAGTTAAAACGATCTTTAGGAAAAAAAACATTTGTTTACTTAAAAATATCAGCAACACTAAACAACTATTTGTTGTTTAGTGCATCAAACCAACTTTGCTAGTTTTTTGCTAAAATGTTTTATTGTTTCTTTCAGTGCTGAACTCGTGAGTGAAGAGGAAAGCTACTTCAAACCCAAAGTTACCATGGTAGCGTGGGATCGCCATGACAATACAGTCGTCACGGCTGTTAACAACCATCTCCTTAAAGTGTGGAACTCCTACACAGGGCAGCTGCTACACATCCTCAAAGTAATTGTTCAGGATGTGTTTCCCCTCAGTAAAAATGGACCCAGTGCCTGGGGTTATAAATGAATATTCATTAGCCATTTCTATGCTGTTTTCAGGGCCACGAGGCCGAGGTGTTTGTCCTCGAACCACACCCCTTCGATGCGAGGATCATCCTGTCTGCTGGACATGACGGGAACGTCTTCATCTGGGATCTGCAGCGAGGCACAAACACGAAGCATTATTTCAACATGGTACACAACCCATCTAGAATACGGCCACAATCGGAACGACTCACTAAAACACACCAACTGTGTGCTTTGCTACAGATGGAATCAAAAATACACAAAACCCGAGTCTTAAAACCCTTTCCTAAAGAAACCTGGCTCACATATAAACCCCAAAGATTAAAGGGTCTTTAAGCTGGTATATTCTTGTGAATGTATGTTTTTTATTAATTAATTAATTTATTTTTTGCATCCAGATTGAAGGTCAGGGTCATGGAGCTGTGTTTGACTGCAAATTCACTCCCGATGGTCAGCGCTTTGCGTGCACGGACTCACATGGCCATCTGCTTGTCTTTGGCTTTGGCAGCTCCAAGCCCTACGAAAAGGCAGGAACATTAGTTGCATTTTTCCACACTCAGACAATGCATTTATTCTTTTGATGTTTTGCATTTTAAGCTCATTTTTGGGTGTGAAAGTGGTAAAACTGACATTACAAGATGTTGAAAACGTCTAAACTGTTACTCATCTTGGTCTCTGCAGCTTCCAGACCAGGTCTTCTTCCACACGGACTACAGACCACTCATTCGGGATGCTAATGGCTTTGTGCTGGATGAGCAGACACAGCAGGCACCTCACCTAATGCCCCCGCCATTCCTGGTGGACGTAGATGGAAACCCTCATCCACCGAGGTTGTTAAAATATTTGATATTCTCTAGATGCGTTCTTTCTCTAGATTTCTCTGCATGCCCCCTTGACATCTTACCCTCATCTTTGTTTAAAAGTGCTTTTCAGTCCATTGGTCCCAGCGTGCTCTCCATTATTAATGCTTCTCTGGTTTCTGGTCAGGTCCCTGCTTACTTTAAGAATGCTGTAATCCACCCGCTTCTTAAAAAACCGAGTCTTGACCCCTCTCTCCATAGCAGCTTCAGACCCATCTCTAATCTTCCGTTCATCTCCAAGATCTTCGAAAAGGTTGTGGCTAAACAACTCACAGCTGCTCTTGATGAACATAACATCTATGATTGCTTCCAGTCAGGTTTTTGTAGAGCTCATTCTACTGAAACAGCTCTTCTTAGGGTCTCTAATGACCTTCTGACTCACAGTGATGCAGGGGACTGTTCTGTTCTGGTCCTGCTGGACCTGACTGCAGCCTTTGACACTGTTGACCATCACCTGCTACTGGAGAGGCTGAGAGACTGGGTAGACCTATCAGAAACTGCCCTGGAGTGGTTCTCCTCTTATCTCTCTGAGCGCTCCTTTTCTGTGGCCGTCTCCAAGTTTAGGTCCTCCACCACCTCTCTTACCCATGGTGTCCCACAAGGTTCTGTGCTGGGGCCTCTGCTCTTCCTCCTCTATCTGCTTCCTCTTCAGCACATCCTGAGTTCCTTCAAAGGAATCTCCTACCATCTTTATGCAGATGACATCCAACTGTACATCTCCTTTAAGCCCCATGAGATGTCTAAGCTGCAGCTGCTACACACCTGCTTAGACTCTTATCAAAACCTGGATGGCTGGGAGCTTTCTACAGCTGAATGAAGATAAGACTGAGATCCTCATCTGTGCCCCAGACAAGCTGGTTCCCAAAGTCAGAGACTCTCTTGGTCAGCTTGCTTCCCACACCAAACCTTCCGTCAGGAATCTTGGCATGACCTTTGACCCAGCTCTCACCCTGGATTCTCATGTCAGTCCTCTTGTTCACTCTTCCTTCTTCCATCTCAGGAACATTGCTAAGCTGATTCCCATTCTGTCCCGCTCTGAACTTGAGACAGACATCCACGCCTTCATCTCCTCACGCTTAGACTACTGTAACTCTCTTTTCACGTGTCTGGGCAGAACCTCCCTGAACCGTCTACAGGTGGTTCAGAATGCCTGTGCTCGGCTTCTGACCAAGTCCTCCAAACACACCCACATCACCCCGCTTCTCCAGCTTCACTGGCTGCCAGTCAACTTCAAGGTTCATTTCAAGATCCTGGTTCTGGTCTATAGGCCTTACATGGACAAGCACCATCTTACATTGGTGATCTTCCCTACACCCCCAGCAGGTCCCTGAGGTCCAGTGATCAAAGCCTACTGGTTGTGCAGCGCACCAGGCTAAAGACCAAAGGTGACAGATCATTTGCTGCTGTGGCCCCCAGACTCTGGAACTCTCTCCCCCTGAGCCTGAGATCAGTGGACTCGGTGGTCTCCTTTAAAAAGCAGCTGAAGACTCACTTGTTCAAGCTGGCTTTTGTATGACCTTCTTCACCACTCTCTCTTTATTCTGCTCTCCCCACCTATTCCACCTTCCTCAGGATCCACTGATTTCCCTCTTTGCTATTCACTCTCTCTCTTTCTTAATATTTTTTTAATCGTAACTGTCTATTTTTTTGCTCATTGTAAATATATTTTTTACTTATTTCTAAATTCTTTTTTATATTTTTACATTTTTTGTTTTTGTGAAGCGCCTCGTGAATTTTATCTTGAGAGGCGCTATAGAAATGATATTTTCTTTTTCTAGATGAACTCAAAATCAAGCATAAAACATCCAATAAAATAGATCAATTCTAATTTTGATCTTTGTTCTTTTAAAGTAATATTATATTTAGAAATCCAGCTTTAATAAATGCACAGTAATCTTTGTTTATCACCATTTAGCCATGATTTTGTTGGTCTTAATGTTTTGGCTTATATTTTAGATACCAACGTCTCGTTCCTGGGAGGGAAAACATTGCTGCTGAACATCTGGTTCCACAGCTGGGTTACATAGCCACAAGTAGGTAGACTCCAGATTTTAAAATATACTTCATGTGCAGAACGGTTGTGCTTCCAGCGATTTGTCCACCCACTAGATAAAAGAATGCCCTTACTAGAGCTTGATGTTTTACAGAACTTCCTCCTGTAAATGATTAAAAAGACTCCTGTAGTCCTCAGTCCTCTTGTGTCTCTCCATCAGGTGATGGTGAGGTGGTGGAGCAGGTCATCAGCCAACAGACCGCCGAGCACGAGATGGTTACGATAAGACGCAGCAGCCTCCTGGATGAGGCCGTCAGACATCTTCAGGAGCAGCAGGACCGGCAGAACCAGCCTCGAGCTGAAACCACGCCGGGTTCTAGAACAGGACCAACCGAAGGCCACGGCCCAGTGTTGGCACCAGCACCAAGCACTCCACGCAGAGGTACAGCAGGGTTTTTCAGGTTTTCTGACACCTTTGATTGCACTCGCCAAGCATATTGGTTCTCTGCAGTGTCTGTGAACGAGCGGGCAGATGTACAGTCCTCTCCTAACGTGGGCTTGCGGCGCAGCGGACAGGTGGAGGGCGTGAGGCAGATGCACCAAAATGCTCCTCGCAGCCAGATGGCCACAGAGAGAGACCTTCAGGCCTGGAGGCGTAGGGTGGTGGTACCTGAACTGGCAGCCAGCAGCTATAGGTACGGCTTTAACATTTCACCTGGAACGTACATACTGGGAATTCTTTTGACTCCCTCCATTTGAATATAAATTAGGAGTAGATCGATGTATCGAGCCGATATTTACTGGTTTTTATACATCAGCTGATATTTGTATTTAGTAAAGCCGATGTAAAGTCAGGCACAACCTCAAGCAACCCGGTGCTGTTGCAGAATCTAATTTAAATGTATTTATTTTTATTTCAATACCATCTACATAATTAAAAACTCTAAATTAACTTTATTTAGGTGTCTGACTTTAACACTGAGTCGTGCACAATTTTGTGCATCAACTGATGTTCTTAGTGACATTTTACCTGAAAATAATGTGAAAAATGTTTAGATGTCAGCCATAAAAATCAGCAGTAAATGTCAGCCATCGGCTGACCATGTCTCCTACATATTGGCAACAGAAAATCCAATATCAGTCGGTGTCTAATTTAAATATCTATCTGTCTATTCTTGATTATAATAAGTGTTATCTGTCATTTTGACGGTAAATATGATCTTATATCGGAGCTGCTAATCAATACAAATTTTAATCACAATGAATTGCATGAGCTAACGTAAAATTTCTGATGGCAGATTTCAAATTCAGCGTTTGTGAAAATTCATTTGATCTTTAGACATATCAACATAATTTAATATTGTCCAAGGAAAATCTTCAAATGGTCAGACATATTGGCTGACCTGCTTCTCTGTTGACAGTTTGCACCGAGCCTGTGACAGACATTTTATTAAGGGATCCATCAGAGATGGGGCTGGGCGACATGGCCCAAAATCAGTATCATGATATATTGAGGATTTCACCTCGTTAACGATAAATGGACGATAACTAACAGGTACTAGGGTTGTCACGGTGTGACAATGTAACCTCACAGTTATTGTGACCAAAATTACCACGGTTTTCGGTATTATCGCGGTATTTTTTTAAACGTGTTACATTTTCAGACAACTAAATAAACCCTGTATATCAGGAAAATATTGTCCTCAGTTTGTGTCTAAATTTTGCCTTAAATTTTTAATTTTGTAATTATGTTGTTTATTTGTTTATATTTTTTCCCTTTAGTCTTTAAAATACCAATATTTGCCCATAACTTCTTATTTTTTGTCTGTTTGATGTCATCATTTTGAAAATATTCGATCAGATGGTACTCAGTACTCAAGTAGCCTTCTAATCAGATACTTTTTTACCCTTACTTGAGTAATAATCCCTATATCAGGAAAATATTGTCCTCGGTTTGTGTCCTTCCAGTGAGCTTTGCAGATGTGGGAAAATGTCATCAGGCAGTAATCATTGTTAAATTCATAATTATTCTCGGAGAGAGACCAACTCTTATCTGCCCCTGGGAGCCCCGTAATGCATAGCGTCATTTCAACATGGGGGTGTCCGCGACACGGTTTATATGCAGGTAGCGGCGCTACGGCTGCTTTATATAGCGACTCGTTGCATTCTCCCTCAACCCAAATCCTCGGTTCACACATTTTAGCTAAAACGCTAACGTTAGCTTGCCTTGCGTTGACTGTAGAGTTGTGGGTGATGGTCACGCAGATGTGTCATGAGATTTGAAGCGTTGCTGCCTTTCACAGACACTTTCTGCATGTGCTGCAAACAGGATAGCCGTCTTCTATCAACTGTCCCTCGACATTCTTCAAATATCCAAATAATGCCCGTACTTCTGACTTTGTCTTCTTTGAGGGATAATAAATGTCCTCCTGAGCGCTACCGTCTCCTCCTTTGGCCATTATTTCAGCTTTAGCTTCAAGAAAGTTTTGGTTGTAAACAACAAAGCGCGTGTGTGCCGCCGGCAACCTCAGCAGATGATATGGTGGCTGGTAAGGGTCAACGCGCCTACACCGCAGCCACGGTAATCCACCGGTAAATATATATTTTTTAAAAACAAGACGGTTATTATTATTGTAAATTTTTTTTACCGGGGTTTACCGCTACACCGGTTACTGTGACCAGTGGCGGTTCTACATGGAATTACTCCCCGGGCGAGTCCCCCTTTAAGCCCCCCCACCCCCACCACCACACCACACCACCCCACCTGCACAAACACATGCATGTTTTCTACAAACAGGCATGTTTTATTAGAACGACTATTGAACATTCATTTTTCTAAGTTGCACATATTTACATTAATTACTATGAAGTTGTCAGAATGTAAAGCAATATACATTATATACTGTATCAAAATATATAGAATCAAAAATACGAAAACAACTAAACTAACTAAATATTAAAAATATATGAACATAATATATAATAAATATTCTAAATAGTAGGGCTGCACAATGTATCGAAAAATTATCGTCATCGCGATAACAGGACTTGCGATAGGCCCACCGCAAAGCACGTCAAAAACGGCGATAAATGTTTGGTTCAAACATTTCCATCCGTGTCATACATCAACTTTTTGTAAACCAGCTCTGTTTTTTAAGCGGAAATATTATTTGACCAATCAAATGTAGCCCTTCTGATATGCAGCCAATCAGACGAATCCGTTCACGTAATACGCCCGCCCCCTACGTAGACCCTTACCCCAAAATTCCACTATCTCTGCTCTGCCCCCCGCTTTCCGCTGCCGCTCGCTTCCCTTGTTCGTCATGCTGGCTCATATTAACGAACTCACTTTGTGCTGAGGTTTCTGGAATCAGTGCTGCTTTCAAACGTGAACGTGAGTCCGCTCGGTGTCGTTAAGCAGCTGATAATAACCGGGTTGACTCCCACACGTGCCTGTGAACCAACCCACCATTAGCCCCAGGCTCCAGTTAGCTTCCATCTAAAAGGCTACAGCACTCTCCTCCCAGTCCTACCCTGCTAAAGAGGGCCTGGAAAAGTTCCCCCACACATCAAAGTGATTTTTCATTTATGAGCTTTTATAACCTTGTTAATCAGGGTAGTTGATTTGCTGCTGCACATACACTGTCAGTCAGAAGCTCTGCTAGCCGGTTATCTTAGAGGAGCTAGTTCAATTTGTTAGCTTGTTATCAGAATCATAGTTGCAGTTTCACCATCTGAGCTGCTTTTTAAGATCTAGGTAAACTTGTTCAATTTGGGGTTAAAAACAAACGTTTTCACATATTTTCCATGTAGTTTTTTGCCAGTTCCTCTTCTGAAAGGTAGACAATTGTTTTTCTCTTTCCCTCAGAAAATATTAATATTCTCCTAGTTTGGCCCAGCACAGTTCACTTCCCAGTTACAGCAACAGCCTTATATCATAGCCACATAAGTGGAGAAAATGCTCAGTAGCAATGAGAGAATTTGCTGTTGCATTTAAGTGATGTTAACTATTGTTTAACATTTAAACTTATTTTCAGTTTTTTTTTTTCATTTATTCAAAAACCCTGGTAAGGGATGTTTTTCTGTATTTGGAGCATCAGAAAAAGTTTTATAGTGGAGGTGATGTTTTAAAGTCACTGAGAAACTGCATGCATGCAGTTTGTTGTTTTGCTGCTAATACAGTAGCAGGTGCAGCTGCATATTTTTTCAATAAAAATGGTATGCTGTAATGGAATTCATGCATTAATTTTTGTTTGCTTTGAACCCAGAGCAAACGTCACACGCCAGACGACATCAACACTGCATACTTTAGTATTTGTTCATTTATCGTGAGTAATATCGGTATTGCAAAATTAAGCACTGTTATCGAATATCGCAGGTTTTCCTAATATCGTACAGCCCTACTAAATAGCAAAAATATTTCACACATAACAAACTAAAGATAATCACTACAGCACTGCACTTAGAACAGAAAACACAAACTAAAATTAAAACCTAACCTTGATGCAAAGTCATCAATAATGTCATCATATGAAATCTGCTCCCCTACTGAGTGATTGATACTAATCAGAGCCAGGTTAGTCAGCCGCCCCTGAAACATAGGTGACCTCAGGTATGACTTGATCAAGTTTTGAAAAGCTCCTCTCAGCTAGAGCCACAGGGACTGGCAGAGCAGTCCAAAAGTTGGGGTAGATCTGCAATAGATCTTTATCATGATCCATAATATTTTAGAATTGCCTCTGAAATTGTACTTTAAACTGGCATAAAAATAAACTGTAGACTAACAAAAATGCCAACTTTTACAGAACAAATCATGTAAAAAATAATCAGTGCAGCCATCTGCAATAAATAAACAGGATAGTTAGTGGTGACTGGGGAGTTTTCTTCTGCTTGTAGAGTTGTTTTATTTATTATCATGTGAACATGATCAACATGTGTTTGTTGTTCAGGCAGGCCACAGGCTGCAGCGAGCATTTAACAAATCCTAGTTTGAATCAGTGAAAAACGATTCAAGGAATTTTTTCGAACCATTTGCAAATTCGTTTCAATATTTCAGCCCTATTAGCTCTGTTAGCAATTAGTTGACCGAATTTAACCGTTAAAATCCCAGTTAACTGGTTCAAAAAATTAAAACATGCAGCATGAGAGCTTACATACCTTTATCTTTCTGCTCTTTTTTTTCTTCTTTATTTTCATGAATCGGGCACCTGGTGGTTTTAGCCTTTTTATGTTCATCTCTTCTGTTTGGCTCTTAACTCAGTGTCCTTTAGTCAGGACTAAACAATTTGACCTTGATGGGGGGGTGACCACAAAATCGTTTTGTTTTTCCTTTTTTTATTCGGCCATTTCACACAATTCAGAAAAACCTGAAAGAATGATAGGCCTGTGTTTATGATATTATGAATGAAATGTGCGTTAAATGGAAGAACATCAAGATGTGATTGACTTTAGCCATGTTAATACAGTTGATTCAGCCCCTACCCACTCATTTCATTTGGACCCACCCAGAGGTGAATTCCCCCACCGCACCCCTCCCCTTCCCTTCCGGAGCACATGAACGTTCTCAGTCAGCATGAGCGCCTGCAGCTGCAGGGGGCGCCAACTTGCTGTTTCCAGTCCAGACACTGTCATATGACAATAGAAAACCTCGGTGCGGCGCAGATTTCTTTCTTTCTTTCTTTCTTTCTTTTTTTCTTTTTTTTCTTTTTTTCTTTTTTTCTTTCTTTTTTTCTTTTTTTCTTTTTTTCTTTCTTTCTTTTTTTCTTTCTTTCTTTCTTTCTTTCTTTCTTTCTTTCTTTCTTTCTTTCTTTCTTTCTTTCTTTCTTTCTTTTTATTCAGAGCTTGTGCGCCCCTTTTGTGTCATGAAAAAATGCCGCCCCAGGCAACTGCCCTGTCTGCCCGTGCCTAAAACCGCTACTGACTGTGACAACCCTAACAGGTATGCGCAGAAACGAATTTTGTCCACTAGATGGGGGTGTCACGTTTTACGTGACTAAAGGTGGTACACCTTCTAAAAGGGACATGAACGCTGCCAACCAACTCATCTTTTCATTTTATTTTCAAAATCAAATTTATTGACATGGGAACAATTTTCTCGATAAGAGTCAAATTTTGATAACGATAAATGTTCGATTTATTGCCCATCTCTGGTCTCTGCAGCAGCTGCATATTCTCATATATCTGGGCATCAGAAACATTTAAGATGCTTCAGTTTAAACAAAAATAATTTCATATTATCGTAAAGGGGGCTGGTGCCTATCTCCAGTGGTCAATGGGCAATCAGGCAGGGTACACCCTGGACAGAGACCCAGTTCATCACAGGGCAACACAGAGACACACAGGACAAACAATCATGCACACACACAATTTAGACAGACCAGTTAGCCTAACAGTCATGTTTTTGGACTGTGGGAGGAAGCCGGCGTACCCAGAGAGAACCCACACATGCACAGGGAGAACATGCAAACTCCATGCAGAAAGATCCCAGGCCGAGAAGCGAACCCAGGACCTTCTTGCTGCAAGGCAACAGCTCTAACCACTGTGCAGCCGGGGCGGTGATTCGTGAACGTCAATGATGTTTTTGCTTTCAAGTGATATTTCAAACTCCAGTGAAAAGAAAAATCACCTAAACAGTGGTTGCAAATAACTTTTTTCAACTCCGCTATCTAGAAGAGATTCAATATGAAGGTGCTTGTGTAAAAGATCGATAACACTCGCCAGTTCTTTTTAATCAGTTCAAGTGAGCGTTGTTCCAGTCTTGGCTCCGCCCACAGTAATCTCACTGGGTAAAGCATGGGATGATGGTCCTCCCAACAGAGATGAAGATCTCAGTCCTGCTCTGATCCAGGGATCGTTGTGTTCGGAGCCAGTGAGCAAGGGACTGGAAAGAAAACCAATAAGTGTGTAAATGCCTGATCAGTTATTTGTCCGCGTGAATAGTTAACATGATTACGCGCCAACTTCCTGAATCCCTACTTTGTAGTATTAAATGGCAGTTGTTTTACCTCCTCTTCTGTGTTTTTGCATTAAATAAATGGTGAGAGTTATTTCTTTAGGGACCAGCAGGACATCCGAGTAGCCAGAGGAGACGAGGAGGTGGTTCTGTACAACACAAAGAAGAGACGGATCATCTACAACAGCTGTCGAGTAGGTTTCTTCTGTGGTGGCTGAAGATGGGCTGCAGTAGCCATTACAGTAATGTTTGTGATACAAGTTTAGTAAACACTGTTACAGCATCTGTTAGGCTTCATCACAGGATCAGACAGGAAATATGTGATGCTGTGAATAATAGACCAGAGTCTATTGAGTATCAGGGTTTATTTATTTATTTTCTGTTAGGACGATTCTGACGAGGAGCCGTCCACAGTGAAGCGAACCCACAACCACAGAGGTTCCCCAGAATTAATCGAGTTCTCGTGTGAAGAGGGAGAGGAGACGGCCAGTTCAGTTCACTCTGAGGTACCAGTGACCTCTGAGATGCATGACGCTTCTTGGATTTATTTATTTAATCTTTTAGGATTTGAAACTATTTTTTACTTTTGTTTTAGGAGAATGAATTAGATGGCAGTGAACTGGAGTCTTCCAATGACGAGGAAGAGTGGAACAGCGACAGCTCAAGGTAAAAGCCATCCTTTAAATCGGCTGTTTGATGAATCGTTCATATTATGTGTTTTTCTACTTAATCTTTATGAGGTTCAAATAAACTGATAAAAAAACAAACCTGTCAAACAATGATGCTTTGTTCTGGTGCTTAACCCGAGTTAAAACGGGACACGTGTTCTTGTCGTCTTATCTTCACACTCTGGACCGAACAGCCACACGTCCAGCGAGTACTCGGACTGGACAGCAGATGCCGGCATAAACCTGCAGCCCTCAACCCCCTTGTCGTCACGGAAACGAGCGAAGAGCAGACTCATCAGCTCTGAAGAGGAGGAGGAAGAAAATGAGGAGGAGGAGAAGCAGCAAAGTGACGAGGAGAAACCAGGAAAGAAGTGCAAAGAGAACTCAAAGAAGGCAAAGCCCAAGTCGCCCAGGGTGAGTTTACGGATCACGCTCATGTAAGCCTAAAGTGGTTCATTTCTACAGAATGACAGTTTTACACCCTGATGCTCCAACCAGCGTCCAAAGACCAGACCCTCCATCAACAGGGAAGTGTCCAATGAGTTCAGACCTTCAGCGTGGATTACTGACGTCATTCCCAGGAAGTCACCTTTTGTTCCCCAGATGGGTGACGAGGTATGATTTAGTAATGTGAATAACTTTATTTACTCCGACTGAACTTTAATTGGATAACTTCATGTTATATTCACAGTAAATGTGAAATGATTTTAAGAAATGTATTTTTACCTTAAAAACAACTGAGATCAAAGGTAGTTTTGGACCAAAGAGACTCTAACGTCCATTTGAGATGGCTAATTCTGTTCAGCTTGCATTGGGAGCAAAGCTCTTGTGGTCACTGTTATTTATCAAGATGACATGATGTTTCTCCGTCAGGTGATCTACTTTCGTCAGGGACACGAGGCCTACGTTGAGGCTGTGAGTCGGAGTGAGCTTTACCCCATCAACCTGGAGAAGCAGCCATGGAAAAAAATGGAGCTGAGGGTATGGCGAAGGAATAGAGTAATATCCTAATGGATACTCTAATAGCAATTTCAAAGTATGAAAGGTTGTTCTGCAAAATAAATGTTATTTCTACTACTTGTATTTCTGTAGGACCAAGAGTTTGTGAAGATCACTGGAATCAAATATGAAGTTTGTCCTCCGACGCTGTGCTGCCTGAAGCTGACTCTTATTGACCACGGCACGGGGAAAATCACTGACAAGTCATTTTCAGTCAAGTAGGTGGCCTTTTGTTTGGCTCTAATTAGTCTAAATGCCTAATTTTAATTCAGAGATGATGATGTCGAAATTTTAACTAAGTCCAGTCCTTATTTGTACGGTTCCCTGCAGGTATCATGACATGCCAGATGTGATAGATTTCCTGGTGTTGAGACAAAGTTATGATGAAGCTCTTCGTAGAAACTGGCAGCCAAGTAAGTCAGCGCTTGTATTTTATTGGGTGGAAAATTTAACACGTTAATTATGATTAATTATTATATAAAAATTAGGGGTGCTGAAAAAAATCGATTCAAGTCTGAATCGGGATTCTTATTTATAAAGATTCAGAATCAATTCGCAAAGGTTCAGAATCGATTCCAAGAACTCAAATATTTGGCATGTTACAGGTTTGAGATGCACTTTTTTGATCTTTGTTAGGAGAGTCAGTACTCCGTTTACTTTTGTGGTCCCATAAATTGAGATGATTTATGTTTGAATCTGCTGATAAGAGAGGAATGTAATTTTTTTCCATACTCAGAAATTTGAGACATTCTCATATTTATTTTCCAAGTTGATAAATGAGTACTCGGGATTACTCATGTAATTTGTTTCTACACATACTTGAAAAGTATTTGACCGTATTACTTTCAAAGCTACTGTTAGGTAACTACAGATTTGTTATATTTTACAAGGTAAGCAAAAATAAATGTTGCCTTTTGGTCAAAAGATTGCTTCTGTTTACAGTTTTAGAATCACTTTATTTTACATTGTAAATTTGCATTTTTGGAGCATGACCAGTTTAAAGTCAAATAAAAATGTCCCATAGCTTTAACTAACTTGTACAACAAAGTAGTTCATCCTGGAGCTGACACTCTTTGTTAATACTGATTGTGAATCGATTTAAATTGACAATCGAGAATCGATTCTGAATCGAATCGGTACCCCAAGAATCGGAATCGAATCGAATCAAATCGTGAGTTTCTCTAAGATTCACATCCCTAATAAAAATGATGTGTTAATAAAAATTAATGTATTTAAGCACAGCTTGCACTTCAAGCAAGGCAGAACCTTTGTCAGTGCATGATTTTCTGGTACATCAATTACACTGAAGCACACGACGAAGCCCTACTCTACTAAAATGGAGGAATTTGAAGCCCTTTTGCTTAACCTATAACAACTTCCTGAAAACCACAGAGGCATGGTGCTGGAATTGCAGCCTGGGCATATTGATCCTCCTGAATCTGAGGTTGGACCTTCCTCTCCTGAACCCCTGAATAGACTACCAGAGAGGCTCAGGAGTGTGATCTCCCAGTAGTTGGAACACATCCTGCGTTCCCCCTTTTTAAATGGAGGGACCACCACCACCCCAGTCTGCCAGTCCAGTGGAACCGCCCCCGATGTCCATACAATATTGCAGAGCCGCGTCAGCCAACACAGCCCTGCGACATCCAGAGCCTTAATGAACTCTATGTGGATCTCATCTACCCCCTCAGCCTCAGGAGAGTCTCCGTGTTTTTTTGACCACCTCAGTGACCTCAGCACCAGAAATTGGAGAGCCCAATCCAAAGTCCGCGGACTCTTGCTTCCTCACTGGAAGACGTGCCGGTGAGCTTGAGGTCTTCAAAGTACTTCGCCCACCGATCCACACCGTCTGAGTAGAAGTCAGCAGCATACCATCTCCACTATAAACAGTGTTGGCAACACACTTCTTTCCCTTTCTGAGGCTCCTTGAAGCCATACGGAAGTCTTGCTCCATGGCCTCACTGAACTCCCATGCCTAGGCTTGTGTCTCTGCGACCACCCGGGTCAAATTCTGCTTGGCCCGCCGGTACCCATCAGCTGCCTCTGGGGTCCCACAGGCCAAAAAGACTCAATAGGACTCTTTCTTCATCTTGACAGCATCCCTAACCTTCTGTGTCCACCAGCGGGTTTGAGGATTGCCACCACGACAGGCACCGACAACCCTGCAGCCGCAGCTCCGGTCGGCTGCCTCAACAGTGGAAGCATGGAACGAGGTCCACTTGGACTCATTGTCCCTCACCTCTCTTGGAACATTTTGGAAGTTTTGTGGAAGGTGGGAATTGAAACGTTTTCTGACAGGAGACTCCGCCAGACGTTCCCAGCAGACCCTCATAATACGTTTGGGCCTGCCAGGTCTGACCAGCTTCCTCCCCCACCACTGAAGCCAACTCACCTCAGTTGACAGCTCCGCCCCTTAATTAGATTCCATTTTTTTAAAATAAAGTCCCACCCCTGATTTCATTATAAATTTCTGAATTTGGCCTGTTTGTTTTTATTTTTTGCCAGATGACAGATTCCGTTCAGTGATCGATGATGCCTGGTGGTTTGGGACCATCGACTGTCAGGAGCCCTACCAGCCAGAATACCCAGATAGCCTCTTCCAGTGCTTCAAAGTCAGGTAAACCACAATGGTGACCACATCAGCATCAGGTGATATACCAGCTTAGTAAAGCTTATTTAAATTCAGGCACATCACCGGGCAGCCTGGTGCTGCTGCAGAATTTAATGTAAATGTACATTTATGTTCCTGAATTAAATCTGCATTATAAATCCTTTAAAGAATAATTTCCAACAAAAATTTATTTTTATTTACCAGTTTTGAATATTTAATTGATTTGTCTGAATAACTTTAGTTGATGTCTGATTTTAACACGGAGTGAGATTTAAGTGTTCAAAAAAAGGTTCCGCTTCAGAAATTTTGTTCAGCTGATGTTATTGTTGACATTTTAGCATACAAATAAGGTGAAAAATATTTACATATCGGCAATGAAAGTCGACCCAAAAACTCAGCAGCACATACCTGTCATCGGCTGACCGTGACCTCCAGATATCGGTATTGGTAATAGAATTACCAATATCGGTCTGCTATTACTGGGCATTGCACCAAATTAAGATTTAAAGCTGCTTTCCTGGGTTTTCCTTTCAGAAATCTGTAAAAGTGATTATCTTATCATGTACTGTGATAAAATATAAGCGATACATCTTTTTTTTTTTTTTTTTTTTTGCTGAGCATGCCCTCTGCCCCGCAGAGCTTCGTGCAATAGGAAACTGAGCGCCGACCAGAACTAACCAATAGCGTTAGACTACAGCTTACATGCTTCAAATTTAAGGAATACCTCAGCTGATGCGGAGTTGATGATCTTTTAACGGACAAGTAAGTCTCTAAAATATAAAAATATGAGAACCCAACATGACATGAGAATAATACTCGTAAAACGTGTTTTAGCTCTTTTTGTTGGCTACAGAAGCACATTTATAAACAGAAACATGAAGTCACGATCTTAAACAAACGGAGCAACAGACTTTTTGTGTGATATGCTTGTCAGCCACTAGATGGTGCCATCGGATAAGAGAAATACTCCGGAAAAAAACTTTGTTACAACCCAGGTGTCTAGGGGGCCTGGGGTAACATGGAGAACGTGTGACACAAATGATAATTAACTCATTCGCTGCCAGCGTTTCCTGATCACTAAAGCCCTTCGCTGCCAGAATTTCTCACAGTTTTTACTGTTTTTTTTAAGAGTCACAGAATGTTGCACGCTAGGATGATGTCGATGCCAAAACAATCAAAACAAAGCGGAGACTCACCTCTTACATCAGGAATAATTCGCGTGTTTCGAGCTTTATCCGTTCTTCCATAATCCGATGTCAAATTGTGATCAGCAGACGCGTTTCCTGTTTGCATTTCTCTTTTTTTACAGGAATGGCCCAAAATGATATCCTAACACATGGATTTTCTGCTTTCTGATCATGTGATGTGTGTAACGATTAAATTTACATATTATTTAATGAACCATAAAATGTGAGATTCCATATGAAATGTGAAATCAATCCTATGGATCTTTGGATAACTTAAACCAGACGATTGGAACTTTTTATTGCTGGGATTATGTAACCACTTCGTATTAACTCAGAGACAAAAGAAACAGAGTCAAGTTTTAAAAGTTTAAAGATTTAATACTAAACAAATTAAAACAACACTAACTTTAAACACTAAATGTATGGTGTAACTAAGGTGACGTGAGATGGAGATTGGTGTAGTGTGGAATGTTGTTCAGAACCAACAAATCCGGAGAAACGATTAGTTCTGTTGGGAGTGAAGATGATGTCTTCGCACTAATCTTTGGTTTAGAGATTTATAACACACATTAACACGCCATTCTGTCGGCCTACGTACCCTTTCAGAAGTCCCCGTTAGATCAGGAATGTCGAGGTCCAGCTTGACCCTCTCTGGAACCGAAGCCAGTAGGAAAAACAGCGGTTGCTGACCAGACTAGTCTTGAGATACTTCCGGGTCACGACAGTTTTTTTGGCCTCTAACAAGACCCAAAACGGGGTCGTGATGGTTCAGCTCTTATTCTGAAAGAAACCGTTGCTTGGTTGGTAAAGTGCAACAGATTTATCCAGCTTGTCGTTGGTTCTTTCGGCTGAAGAGGAAAGTTACGGATTGGCCACTTCGACAACTTCTCTAGAAAGCTTTGAACTGACGTTAAAGATGACGTGGGCATAGTTTCATACTTCGGATGTTTTGATTCATGGTCGATTCAAAAGAGGACATATTACTAAGCACCGCCAAAACCACTCCTCCGTCAGATCTGGAAGATTCTGATTGGATCAGTAAAAGCAATGTGTCATGTGACTTAACCTTACGTGTAATCAGTCTCTAGTGGAAACATTTAAAGTTAGATTACTTATTATATTCTGTAGGATTATAATATCAAGTAATTAATATGTTCATTTCACAAATTGGTTCAAATTTTATTATTGACTAACACTTTGTTTGATTAGCTTATTAAAAATAGAGTTCTTTGATTTATTAAAAAGAAAGAGTCCTTTGTCTTCATTCTTCTCTTGAGCTGGAAAGGAGAAACGGTTTAGAAGCAGAGCATGAGACCTTGAGCAATATCCCATGCAGATTAGTTCTTGCTGCGGAGAGGGGGAAAATGACTTTTAGGTGGAAAACAGTCATTTCATTCTGGTACATGTGTGACGTATGCGGATGAAGATCGGCTTCAGAGCTGAGATGTTTGTTCTCTCAGTGCGGGGGCTCGTTCCGATGCCCAAACAGTAAAAAAAAAATGCAAATGACGACTTTAGTCATCATTGGCAGTGAATGAGTTAAAGAAAGGCTTTTCTTTTTTTGTTGCTTATTCAAGTGGCAAAAGCAAATGATAGAACAGAAACAGGTCTTTGCCCCAGTGACATCCAAAATTAGCACAAGAGCTCAGATTATCAAAAGTTAATACAGAAAATACCAATTACTCTAACGAGAGCAAGGGTGAGCAGACAGGCCTAGTCTGCAGGCATGCTCCTCAGATGCAGCATCAATGAGGGAAATAAAAACGCACAGAAAAATGAACACAACACAAAAGGCTACAGCCGTAACGAGCTTTAACAGCCGGTTAAATTCAGAGATCATAACTGATTGAACTTCAGAAATGTTGTGCATCAACTGATGTCATTAGTAACATTTTAGTATGCAGATAAGGTGGAAAATGTCTAGGTGTCAGCCATGAAAATCGGCTCCACATATCTGTCATCAGCTGAGCCTGACCGCTATCATTTATTCCCCCTTCTAACCTGCATTGATGCTTGTTCTGTCGTTTTTGTTTGATTTCAGCAGCTTGTTCTTGTTTCCAACAGATGGGACAATGGAGAGACTGAGAAGCTGAGTCCCTGGGATTTAGAGCCTATTCTGGATGATGGTAAAGACTAGCTTTTATCCACGCCGGGGATATAGTGTAGTTTTTTAATGCTTCATCCCTGTGTCTGCAGCTGAGGAGCCGGAGACCGAGGGAGGCGGCATCCCGGTGACGGCAGAAGAGATGAAAGAACTGATGTATAAGCCTTTACCTGGGGAGTGGGGCGAGAGGAGCAGGGATGAAGAGTGTGAACGCATCATCTCTGGCATCGATCAGCTCATTACTGTCGGTGTGTTTACAGACGCACTTAAATCACACTTTTTCATTTACTGCTGGCTTGTTTTCATCATCTACATTATTCCTGTGAGTTACAGAGATTACAGGTCCGTTTTCTGGTCCGGTGGACTTGGTTCAGTATCCCACCTACTGCACCGTCATCGCCTATCCCACCGATCTGGGCACTATCAAGCTGCGTCTGATGAACAGGTTCTACAGGTCAGTTTTACTTTAGACGCGCTCTCTTCACCTTTGGAGTGTCTCAATTCTTGTCCTTTGTGCTCCTCAGGCGCCTCTCTGCTTTAATCTGGGATGCCAGGTATATTGCACATAACGCTCGCACCTTCAATGAGCCGAGGAGCAAGATTGCACACTCTGCCAAAATCATCTCGCATGTCCTCCAGAAATTTGTCAAGTACGTGTTAATAAAAGTCTATAATGAGCTATGTGATAAGTTATAAGAAAATGTGTCATTTATATAAATTCTGCTTTAAGTTGACATGTTTTCTCTTAGTTGTTGTTTTTTTGTTTGTCTCCAGTAATCCGAGCTGCACAGATATCATGGAGATTTACAACGCTGTGGAGGACATGGACGAGGACGATGAGGCAAGTCTGGATGAATTAGCAAGCATTCGGGCAACGTCTGGGGGTGGGGTTGTTTGTTGTAGTAAACACACGGTGCACGACAGATCTGGGTGTTACCGAATTTTCCAAAAACCTTCAACCTTCGACTGCAGGCTTCAGAAAGAACAGATCTTTGTAATTTGGTTGGATCAAAATAAAATTGGTGAAGTTGTAAGCAGCTATAGTGTTTTCTGTCCGAGTTGTGAACGAAGTTAAAGAACTGTGGCTTGGGCCTTTAGGAGGAAGACACTGAAGCACCTGGAACATCTTCAGGACACAGACTGCGTCAGGTAGGACAAAAACCAAAGACGCTAACGTAGAAACATTCAAACTCCGTCTCACCACCCTGGGACTGTTTTGTAAGATGCTCTAGAAATGAGAATTTAATAGTTTTTGTTCATCTGCAGCACTCTGTGGAGGTGCTGCCAGACAGAGATGCCTGGAAAGAGCAGTGCAAGAGTCTGATAAATTATATCTTTGACTGCGAGGACTCAGAACCGTTCCGACAGCCGGTGGATCCTGAGAACTATCCGGTTAGTTGAAGTCAGACCACACTTTGTTTTGAGCTACGAACCCGGCGTTGTCTAATCCCAGTTTTGTTTACATTTCTAGGATTACTTTGACATCATCCACACACCAATGGACTTTGGCACAGTGAAAAGAACCCTGGAGGAGGACGGCTACGAAAACCCCGTCGAGCTGTGCAAAGACACACGCTTAATATTTGTCAACGCTAAAGCGTACACACCCAACAAACGTTCCAAGGTAGCAGCTAATTTCATTTAAAGAGGCACCTCCTCTGGCTTTGAATGTGAGAAACGTTCTGAATCGGGGTTTTCACTTTTGGACCTGATGCATGCTTTCGTCTCTTCTAGATTTACAGCATGACTTTGCGACTCTCGGCCTTCTTCGAGGATAAGATCAGAAATATCATTTCAGAGTACAAAACTGCCATCAAAAGCAGCAACAGACTCCGCCGCAGTCAGAGGTTTCGCACGAAAACGCAGCAGCCAGATCAGCCCTCTAGCGCTTCGAGGTTGTTTTTCTTCCTTCGGCTAATCTGCTTTTTTTCTGTTTCACACCACTGATAGAATAATCATAACCTGAGTTTTCTTTTTAAATAAATGTTTTTCTCCCTCCCAAGTCATAAAAAGCCTGCTGTCAAAACTCAGGAAAAACTGGAGTCTGTATTCCTAACCAAATCTACCTCAGCCAAAGTTTCGGTTCCTGAGAGAGCCAGGAGGAGTCGGAGCAGCAGCTCAGGCCACAGCTCCTCGGAGGAGGACTCCAGCTCCAAAGCGGCCTCGTCTACACCTGGTACTACCTGTTTCTTGGATCAATGTGTTCAGTGTATGCCGACTTGTTCACAAACACGAGCGTTCCTTTTACTGATGTTTAATGTGGTCTTGCATCTTTACACCACAAGAACACCGTAGAACTAATGAAAAGCATAAATTATGTACAAATTATTAACTTACTTGCTTTAAGTTTGCTAAAATATAGAATTAAAAAAATAAAGAATAAACATACGGCTTTGGCCTGCTAGTAGACAAACCGGTAGACTTGTAAACGCTTAACTATCTTCTGAAATGTCCTTACTTGGCACAAATTGGTCCGTTCGAATCAATAAAATCTCTGAAGTTACGAGTAACAGGAAGTGAAGTCACAGCGCTCTTCAACAGAACTTATCGAATAAACCAATTAAAAATTACCATTATTAATTCTGGGCACTCGTAAGTGCCACAAAGTGTATTGAAAACAAGAAATATAAAAGTTTAAATTAACATGTAAAACTTTCTAGCACATTCGCAAACCACAGTGACATCTAGTGGTGAGACTTTGAACAAAACGTAATGCCGTTACTCAGCGGCTGCGTAAAAAAACCCCTTTGTTGTGGAGGGAAACGTTGCTGTTGCTATTCATATATGAATGTTCATTTTATTAATTTTGCAGAATCTGTAAGTGAACCTAATGATTCAGATGAAGAGACGCGACCCGGTTCATCAAAGCAACATCACAAACAGAGGAAGACTGTGAGAGTTACAAGGAGCAAACATTCCAAGAAGAGGAAGAAGAAGAAAGGTAAGAAGAGATGTTTGCCCCAAAAAACTCCCAAAGCCTTTGATGTTTTTAAATTGAAAACAAAATATAACATTCCTGTGGAAATGTTGTTTTTGCTAGCTGCCGAGAGTGACAGTGACGATGACGAAGAGGAGTCTGAGAGTAAAGGTGGAGAAGGGAAATATGGAGGGGCGTCCTCCCAGTCTTCAGAAGGTCACTATCCCAGCAGGAGGACGAGGTTGAGCAGAAACAGAGCTGCTGGAGACAGAAATCCAACTGATTTGTTTTCAGAGAGCAGAGTGGAAATAAACGGCCACAGTAGCAAGGCGTCAGGCCGGGAGAGGCGTCCCCATGGGAACTCTCCCCAGGAGCGGAAGGTGACCACCCACAGGTACCTCAAAAGGAAGACGGCAAGGGCTGCTGTTAATAAGATGAAACTCCTCGAAGCATCTGATGAAGACTTTGAAGAGGAGGGCACGGAGCAGAAGAAGAGACCTAAACGGAGCAGCAACCGTCCTCACCAGCTAGCTCGTACCAGCAAATGGGCTGCGGTGATCCAGAGCAGCTCAGATGAAGAGTCGTCATTAAGTGGTACGTAAGGATAGAATCTTAGAACACCCAAGGTTATGCTGATGTGCCTTTTACAACTTACCTTCATTTGAGACTCTTTAGTTAGCATAATATCGATCTTAGCATCTCTGGCTAGTTCACAGAGCCTTGCAAAGAGACATTTGCTCATTCTGCAAAGAAAGCCTGATAAGACTAAGGTATTCTGCATTTAAAAGAAAATCTTAGTACTTCTGGTAAAAAGCATTTGGTTCTCGAGCTGCACTGTTTTTGACACAAATTTAGTGAGAAGCATTTAGCATCTGCTTAAGTTAAAAGCTTCTGCAGGACTTTTGCCTTTGCAAGAATATAACTCAGCCTCTCTGCCAGTAATGAGTCTCAGACTCGTCGTTGTCGTCTTCCTCCGCTTATCCGGGTCGCGGGGGCAGCATCCCAACTAGGGAGCTCCAGACCGTCCTCTCCCCGGCCACCTCCACCAGCTCCTCCGGCAGGACCCCAAGGCGTTCCCGCACCAGATTGGAGATGTAACCTCTCCAAAGTGTCCTGGGTCGACCCGGGGGCCTCCTGCCGGCAGGACATGCCCGAAACACCTCCCCAGGGAGGCGTCCAGGAGACATCCTGACCAGATGCCCAAACCACCTCAACTGACTCCTTTCGATCCGGAGGAGCAGCGGTTCTACTCCGAGTCCCTCCCGAATGTCCGAGCTCCTCACCCTATCTCTAATGGGCTCGACACACGGGAGGTGACAAACGACCGCGATCAGCGAAATTTGTCGGTGTCGCTTTTATTACCTGACACACGGGAGGCGATCCGCAGCAGCGGCAAAGCAGTCTACGCGTTCTGTTCCATGGCGAAATTGAAACTTCTGTTGTTTTGCTTGGCTGTGTCAGGTTCAATTCAATTCAAAAATACTTTATTAATCCCAGAGGGAAATTGATTGCTGTAGTAGCTCAGAATAATAATAATAATCAAGTCATCAAAGAGTTATTGGATATTACAATGGCTGCTGGCAGGAAGGATCTAGCGGTCAGTGTTGCAGCGAAACTGAAGAAGCCTCTGACTGAAGACACTCTTCCGTTGTCGGACAGTATTGTGAAGAGAACGCTCAGGGTTGTCCATAATTTTCTTGATTCTCTGGAGAATCCTTCTTTGCATTATCTCCTCCAGTGGTTCCGAAACTGCCGAAACTCTGGCTGAGCCCTTGAAAGGGCTTGGAGTTCCTCCATCTTGTTGGCCAGTGATCTCACATTGCCCATTATGATCGATGGAAGAGATGGTTTGAATTTCCTCTTTCCCTGTCTCCGTTTTGCTCCCGCTCTGCACCCACGCTTCTTGCGTTTTATCTCATTTGGGATTTGTGGCTTCAGTTGAGGAATTATTTCAACCTTTCCCATGTTAATCAGCTGCTCCCGATTGTAAACCAGCTTGTTGCCATGGTTACGCATCATAACAAATGCTCAAAAAGTGGAAAAAAGCTTAAAAAAATAGCAGTAAAAATCCTCCAAGCTCCACAGCACCAGAAACAGAATAGGAAAGTGTCCAAAAAATACAGTTTTTCTTGAGAAACTAGAAGAAAAATGCCCAAGAAAAGGCAAAACTTACATATAGTCAACAGAGCTACTCCAACATGCAGCCACCCAGAGCAGCGCAGTTCCAGAATGGAGGGAATTAAGGTTATTTAAGCGGTTCAGAGTTAATAAAATGGTAGATATGTTTCACAAGGTGCTGCTACAGTTATGAGAAATCTTACTTCTGATTTTACTACATAAAACATAATGATAATCAACTTCTCCTTCATGTTTGCTTGGAGATGTACGGAGCATCCTGTCCGCTCATTGGTCAGTGAATGAAACCTCAGTTGATTGGTCCTCATCCGAGCGACAGCGATGAAAAGTTGAAAATATTTCAACTTTCTGGGATCGCGTCGCTGGGTCGCCTGTGCACGACACTTGCACGAGCGCAAAATTTCACACGCATGTTTTTCGCGTTTCGTTTGGTAGGAGGGAAACCCGCGATTATCGCTTTGTCGCCATGTCTCATTGAAAATGAATGGAGGAGAGGCGATGTCGCCTCCCGTGTGTCGAGCCCATAAGGCTGAGCCCGGCTACCCTACGGAGGAAACTCATTTCAGCCGCATGTATCCGCGATCTCGTTCTTTCGGTCATTACCCAAAGCTCATGACCATAGGTGAGGACTGGGGCGTAAATCGACCGGTAAATCGAGAGCCTGGCTTTCTGGCTCAGCTCCCTCTTCACCACGACAGATCGGCTCAGCGTCCGCATCACTGCAGATGCTGAACCAATCCGCCTGTCGATCTCCCGATCCCTCCTACCCTCACTCGTGAACAAGACCCTGAGATATTTAAACTCCTCCACTTGAGGTAGGACCTCTCCCCGACCCGGGAGTTGGCAAGCCACCCTTTTCCGGTCGAGAACCATGGTCTCAGATTTGGAGGTGCTGATCCTCATCCCAGCCGCTTCACACTCGGCCGCGAACCTACCCAGCAAGAGCTGAAGGTCAGAGCTGGATGAAGCTAGGAGGACCACATCATCCGCAAAAAGCAGAGACGAGATTCTCCTGCCACCAAACTCGACACACTCCACACCACGGCTGCGCCTAGAAATTCTGTCCATAAATTTAATGAACAGAACCAGTGACAAAGGGCAGCCCTGGCAGAGTCCAACCCTCACCGGGAACAGGTCCGACTTACTACCGGCCATGCAGACCAAACTCACGCTCCTCTGGTAAAGGGACTGGATGGCCCTTAGCAGAAAGCCACCCTCCCCATACTCCTGGAGCGTCCCCCACAGGGTGCCCCTGGGGACACGGTCATAAGCCTTCTCCAAATCCACAAAACACATGTGGATTGGTTGGGCAAACTCCCATGCCCCCTCCATCACTCTTGCAAGGGTATAGAGCTGGTCTACAGTTCCACGGCCAGGACGAAAACCACATTGCTCCTCCTCAATCTGAGATTCAACTATCGATCGGACCCTCCTCCTCTCCAGTACCTTGGAGTAGACCTTTCCAGGGAGGCTGAGGAGTGTGATCCCCCTATAGATAGTAGGAACACACCCTCAGGTCACCCTTCTTAAAGATGGGGACCACCACCCCGGTCTGCCACTCCACAGGAACTGCCCCCGATGACCACACAATGTTGCAGAGACGTGTCAACCACGACAGCCCTACAACATCCATAGCCTTGAGATACCCAGGACGAACCTCATCCACCCCCGGGGCTCCACCGCTGTGTAGTTGTTTGACTACCTCAGCAACTTCTGCCCCTGAGATTGGACAGTCCATCCCCAGGTCTCCCAGCTCTGTTTCCTCCTCGGAATGCACGTAGGTGGGATTGAGGAGCTCCTCAAAGTATTCCTTCCACCATCCGACTATAGCCCCAGTTGACGTCAGCAGCTCCCCATCCCCACTGTAAACAGTGTGAGCGAGTTGCTGCCTTCCTCTCCTGAGGCGCCGGACAGTTTGCCAGAACCTTTGGAGCCGATCAATAGTCTTTCTCCATGGCCTCACCAAACTCCTCCCACACCCGAGATTTTGCCTCGGCAACTGCCACTGCTGCACCCCGCTTGGCTATCCGGTACCTGTCTGCTGCCTCCGGAGACCCACAGACCAGCCACGCCCTGTAGGCCTCCTCCTTCAGCCTGACAGCTCCCCGAACCTCTGGTGTCCACCAGCGGGTACGGGGGTTGCCACCACGATTGGCACCGGCCACCTTGCGACCACAGCTAGCAACAGCCGCCTCAACAATTGCAGAGTAGAACAAGGCCCACTCGGAGTCAATGTCCCCCACTGCTCTCGGGATGCGGTCAAAGCTCTGCCGGAGGCGGGAGTTGAAGACCGTCTTAACAGGTTCTTCTGCCAGGCGTTCCCAGCAGACCCTCACTATGCGTTTGGGTCTGCCAGGTCTACGCGGCATCTTCCCCTGCCATCTGATCCAACTCACCACCAGGTGGTGATCAGTTGACAGCTCCGCTCCTCTCTTCACTCAGGTGTCCAAAACATACGGCCGCAGGTCAGATGATACGACTACAAAGTCTATCATCAACCTGCGACCTAGGCTGCCCTGGTACCAAGTGTACCGATGGGCATCCTTATGTTCGAACATGGTATTCGTTATGGCCAAACTGTGGCTTGCACAGAAGTCCAATAATGAAACACCACTCGAGTTCAGATCAGTCAGACCGTTCCTCCTAATCACACCCCTCCAGGTCAAGCTGTCATTGCCCACGTGAGCATTGAAGTCCCCCAGCAGGACAATGGAGTCCCCTGATGGAGCACTATCTAGCACTCGTCCCAGGGACTCCAGAAAGGGCAGGTACTCTGAACTGATATTTGGCCCATAAGCACAAACAACAGTCAGGACCCATTCCCTAACCCGAAGGCGCAGGGAAGCTACCCTCTCGTCCCCCGGGGTAAACCCCAACACACAGGCAGAGAGTCTTGGGGCTAACAAAATGTCAACCCCAGCCCTCCGCCTCTCACCCGGAGCAACTCCAGCAAAGGAGAGTGTCCAACCCTTCTCAAGGACTTGGGTTCCAGAGCTAATGCTATGTGTCGAGGTGAGTCCGACTATATCTAGCCGGTACCGCCCAACCTCTGCCACAAGCTCCTGCCCCATGGGCAGAAGCCTGGCCACCAGGCGCTCGCTCACGGGCCCCAACCCCAGGCCTGGCTCCAGGGTGGGACCCCGGTAACCCTCCGGACCGGGTACTCAAACTCCTTGGTAGTTCATCCATGAAAGATCCTATGAACCATTCTTTGTCTCACCCTTCACCTAAGACCAATTTGTCATGGGAGACCCTACCAGGGGCACAAAGTGCCCCAGACAACATAGCTCCTAGGATCATTAGGGCACTCTAACTCCTCCACCACGATAAGGTGACGGTTCAAGGAGGAGTCTCAGACTGTTCTATAAAAAACTGCTGTGGTAAAATCTTGTTGCTGCTGTTCATTTACATTTATTAGTTCGGCTCACAACCAGTTACACATTTAAATCAAGGCCTTGTTTTTTTCTTTTAATCGGTGTGTTTATATAAATGGAAAATAAGAATACGCAGGTGGAGGAAGCACAAAATGAATCGGATGATTGAGAAACGTTATCCTGAACCAGGAGGAGTGACTTTGTTTCTCATCCATTAACACCTGCAGCTCACTCTGAGAACATTTATTTTCTCCTTGTCAACTTCATTGTTTTTGCATTGAAATCAGACCTGAAGTCTAGTTCTGACTGCTCCAATCTGCACCAGAATAATGGCATTTGTGTGAATCAGATGACGAGAAGCAAATTACAGGAGGAATAAGACAAAATTCCTTCTTTTATTGTTTTTAGGTTCTCAAAACACCAAGAAATCCAGTGAAGAATCCAAGGGTGAGGATGGTGTTGATGACACCGATGCTTCATCGTCCTCTGAGATTAAACTAAACGGAAACTCAAAGTTCCTCCCACAGAAGACCAAGACGAGGGGAAAAGGTGAAAAAGTGTTTAGAATAGACACGTTTTCCTTTTTGTTGCTTTTCTCAGATGGAGATTTTCTTGTTGGTTCTGCAGAAACGTTGTCCCATGTGAACGGACATGGTGGAAAGCATCACCAGAGTAACTCGGAGCAGGACGAGACTACAGCCGTTAGCTCTGGGGAGGAGGATCAGAAACCCTCTAGAAGCACAGCAACCACTTCAGCCAGAAATAGTAGGATTGTTAGTGAAGAGGACGAGGACGCGGAACGCCAGACCACTCGACACAAACCTCCTGTGAGCTCCGATAAAGAGAACAATTCCCAGAACCATTCACGCCAAAATGGGAGAAATGTGGAAAAATGTCTCCACGGGGACTCAAAGAAAAAAAGGAAAGTTTCTCCTTCAAAAAGCCAAGACAAACAAAAATCCGCCTCGGCTACGGAACTGGATGGTGCAGGTTCAGAAGATGTCAGCGATTCTTCAACAAGGTTCAACCTGCAGAGGAAAGGAGCGAAAAAGAAGGAAATGGAAAAACACGACTCCAGTGATGCATCTGACTTTGAAACAAAGAGGCCAACGAGAAACAAAAATAAACGGCTTCACTGCAGCACCTCTGCTTCAGAGAGTTCTGGGCAGGAGTACAAACCCAGCAGGAAACTGAGGAGGAAACGCTCCACTGGATCTTCAGACGAAGAGTCGGAACATTCTGACGACCTTTCAAACAGACGGCCCAGACTCCGAGCTCTACCGAAAAAGAAATACATCATTGACAACTCTCTTTCTGAGGAAGACTCTGCTCCAACAGCCCGGCCTAGACAGAGAAATGGAAACAAGAGAGTCTTAGAACCACCGGAAGTGCGGTACAACACAAGAACATCTAAGAAAACTTCTCCAGGTGAGGGCAGGAATCCGCTCTCCTCAAAGAGGAAACGGATTTACACCTCAGATTCTGAGGAAGAGGAGGATGGAGACGGGGATCCGGTAAAACAGAACAATAAACACCGCAGGTCAGGCTCTCTAACACACTCTGAAAGGGAATCCATAAAAGACTCATGTGACGACGAAGGCAGCAGCTCTTCATCTGGCTCCAGTCAGGAGGAGGAGGAAGAGGAGGAGGAAGTCAGTCGATCGAGGAGGAAGAATATGAGGCAGCCAAAGCCTAATAGAAGGAAAAGCTACAGCAGCAGTCGACACAGCTCCGACTCAGAGAAGGAGCAGTTGTCTTCAGCCTCCGAAAACTTCTTTTCCAGCTCAGGGTCCCACAGCAGTCCAAAGAGGAGAGTTCGAGCAGGGATTGGTGAAAGGGCCGCAGGCCGCCAGCTCAGGCGGCGCCACCAGAGAGCCGCATCCAACAAAGAGGAAGACAGCGATGCGACGTATGGCAAAGCGCAGAGGAAGGTACGAGTCAACACCAGGAACCGCGGGAAGCGGACGGTGAATTACCAGGACAGCGAATGATGACCCGGTGGGTGTTCGCTGAAGAGGTTAAGGACACAACGCTATGGTAGCAGCACTGGAGTCCTCGATACAACGCTGTGAATCTGTTTCATTCAGGGATATTTATATTTTCTATGAAAAACATGTTTATAGATGTTATACACATTCAAGCATCTGAACTGCTGGTTTTCCTACAGACATGAGCAGAACACCCCCCACCCCCTACCGCTTGTTGCAGTTTGAGCGGCGGAACAGCCGCTCCGGGGAAATCTCGTCAGCTTGGGTGCTACCTAATATACCTCTCTGTTTAATCAAGCATATTGCTGGCTTGCACTAAGGAACACTGTCATGAGGTATTTAATACACTAGTTTTGCATTAGAAACTCAGGGGTCAGCTAAGTTTACTGTTGTCTTGAGACATGCAGTTTTAGAGCGAAGGGAATGATGAGAAACTGTTTCAGATGGGCGCGTCTGAGCACGCGGCCTGGAACGAACATGACTACAGCACTCCTTTGTAAATCCACACTTAAAGCTTGACTGTATTGTGAGATGTGAGCCAAATAAACAAAAACAAATTCTCTTCCCCACACTTTTTTTTCCTCTTCTTTTTTCGATCCGTTTGTATTCTAGTGCGTAATGTAAATATGTGGTCAAGAGTGAAATTGTCTAAACAGCTTGACGATCAGTCTGTAACAGTGTTTATTTAAATTTAGAGGGGTTTTTGTTACGTTTATCTGATAAATTTTTTATGTTTTATATTTTTTGTCATGTTATAATTTGGTAAGGTTTTTTTTTTTTTGCCAAGTACAAATAACCAAAAGTACTTTAAACAAAATACTGATTTCTCATATTGGGAAGACCTTTCTATTGTTTTGTGTTACTTTCAGTGTTAAATTCTTTTCCAGAGTTGACTTAAACTTGTTGCCAGTCATGGGTTGTTTTTGTTTGAAGTTTCTAAAAATAGTCACTTAATGACTATTATCATCCATGTTTTTTTCATACTACACCTTTAATAAAACAATGACCGTAAAACTTGATTCAATGTGGTTGTGGAGTGCAATGAATGAGTTGTTCCTTCTGCTAATATAGATGAACTCGAGGTGCTTTCTGTGTCGGTCTGAATATCACCCATGTGAACTGAAGATGCTTTGATTGTAATGTTAAGAAAAAATGTTGCAATAAATTTGGGCGGTTTTAGGAGCATCTTTTGTTGCTCCTCAAGGCCTTGAAACACAGCTGTGTTTTAGTTTTACTTTTAAGCTAAAAACGAACATTGTTAATAATTCAGACCTGGTTCTGGTCCTCGAAGTTCCCTATCCATCATGTTTTAGTTGTTTCCATGCTCCTAAATATAAGTTGCATCTTTGCAAAAACTGTTTTCAAAAGTTATTCAGTAGAAAATATTGAGAAATGTCTCAACGTGTGATAACACATCAAAATATTTTTAAGAACGGGTTTTATGTTGCAGATGTTTTTTAATCACTCTTGCCAGTCAGACAAGATTTAGCCAACCAGTTGTAATACCACGAAATGGCCACAAGAGGGAGTACTGTATACTCATGTCTTTTCCAACTTACCCATGAAATGCGGGTAGCTCAGGCGGTAGAGCGGGTTGACTCATGATCGGAGGGTCATGGGTATGATTCCAGCTCCCACCAGGGGTATCCTGCTGTTGTGTCCTTGGGCAAGACACTTCACCCAGACCCAACTTGCCTGGTGGTCAGAGGGGCCGACGGCGCCAAATGGCAGCCTCGCCTCTGTCAGACCTCCCCAGGGCGGCTGTGGCTACAAGTAGCTTACCATCACTAGCAGTGTGTGAAAGCGTCTTTGGGTGTCTAGAAAAGCGCTATATAAGTTCAATGCATTATTATTATTATTATTATTATTATTATTATTATTATTATTATTATTATTATTATATTTTATCCGTTAATTCCATTATTGTCATTGCTGAGGAATGTTTAGTTCTAAACCCATATTGTTCATTGCTCAAAGTATTGTTTTTTCGATGAATTTATCCAACCTTTTTCAAAATACAATTACTTTTGAGAGCTGCGCCTTAAAGAAAAACGGAACGATTTGGTGGAGAAACATTTTCACTGAGGAACGCATTTGGATATAACACGCGGAAGTCCGTTTTGTTTAGCATAGGCATGAATATGTAGACCAGTCATACGATTCTTCGCTTAGTTATGGAATAAACTGATTTAGTAATGTGTTTTTTAAAGTTCGTGATTCCTAGTTTGATTACCTCTATTAATAATCTGAACGTAGGAGTACAAAGAAATATGCTTTTATTTTGAAGTTTGATTAACCTACCACCATGATCGTTTCTGTACGACCTCTTTTCGCACTTTCGACATAAACAGTTTACCAAGTCTGTTACTTAGAATTGCTCAAAATGAAACAGTATTTTGAAAAGGCATACCGATTAAATACCAACTTACTTCATTAATTTTCTAGTGTTTTTCTGACGAAAACATCACGGGTTTCAGATATTTCGAATCTGCTTGATTAGCCTGTTAGCCACTATGCTTCATGATACATTTACTTGGAGGACAGGTGCTCCTCGTGCGTGAATAAAAAACAGCCTCTGCTTTACCTGTGAAGTAACGTATGGAATGTGTTTAAGTTTTTTGAATGGGCTAAGTACATTTACGGCTTTTGGAAACAGACGAAAGATAGGGCTAATATTTAGCATGTCCTCCGTCAGACACTTAAAGCTGCAGTAGCCTTTCTCAGGAGTCAGGACTCGACTGACTTGGAGAAGATTTAGTTCAGAATGTCTGCACGTAAATGTCTGGTTTACCTGGTAAAACACAGGAAGTTATGGGCGCATTTTCGGAGGAATGTCACCACTTGGTCACCAGTTGGAGCTGCTTTTAATGCCAAACCTCACAGGAGACTGGACCTCTTCGAGAAAAACGTGGTTTGTATACCAAACTTGTAGTGTCAGTAAAAGAAAACAAGATTACTGGACATGGGCTGCTGCTGTGACATTTCCATCCTGTGTGTGATGTGTGTGTTTACAGGGGTTGTTTGGTGTCCCAGAGCTCACCTGTCCTGCAGGTTTCCAGGTAGCCTCAAAAACAGCCCTGAAGAACACTGAGCTCCTGCTGGGAAGAGCTTGTTCCTCCTCTCAAGGTGTGGAAACGGTGGAGTGTTTTGACCAGCTCTCAGATGGGTTGTGTAAAGTGGCCGATCTGGTGAGTTTAAGCGCCCAGAATGTTGGGAGGGAAAAAGCCTTCTTCGCATGCAGGAACTCCCGGATTGCAGATTATTTCCAATAACTTGCTTTTGGCTTGAATTTGAGTATTATTATTATTATAATTATAAGAGGAGACAGTGCATGTTTTTGATGTGTGTTGGCTTGTGTTCATAGGGAACTCTTATTCAGTTAAGCAGGAGAATACAAACTGGTATAATTGGATATCTTAACCAATTAAAGGATGAATTAGGTGTTACCAGTATATCCACTAATACTCGCTTAACACTGAATTTGCACCCATGTTAATCTGCTGTTAACCAGAAATAAGTTGGTTAAAAAAATCCGCCCACACTACAAGACAACATTGAGTTAATGTATCTTATTAACCAGGAATTGATGTTGATGGGGGTTCATTTAATGAATATGAAGAGAAAAACTTAATGGAAGACTAATATTTTCTATTCTACATAAAAAGTTTGTAATTATTCTTTATTTTTACATTTTTTGTTAGATCTACAAAAAATTTGAACACAAAAATGTAAATATCTGAATCATCTGGTCAAAAGTCCACCATTCCAGATCTGCAGTCGAGTCATGCGTTGGACACCCCTGCTTTAACCTGTCACCTTAGCATGTCCTTCCTTCCATCTGTGTAAATAATACAAGGTTTGCTGTTTTTCCTCATGTGCAGGCAGACTTCATAAAAGTGGCCCATCCAGACCCGGCGTACCGCGAGGCTGCTGAGAAGACCTGCATAGAGATCGGCACAGTGGTGGAGAAGTAAGGACGCTCATGATGCACCTAATGCTTCTTTACAAATAATTCTTATGGCTTTAATGTGGGTCAGTGAAGAATTCTGGCCCAGACTTGAGACATATATTTAACTTGTAGATGATAATGTGTTCCAGCCTGAACACGGACATTGAGTTGTGCAAGAGTTTGAAGAATTTGCTAGATGACCCAAAGGCTGTGGCTCAGTTGGACTCTGACACAAGGTAGGCTTGTTTTTTGTGTCGTTAAGCTTTTGGGCTCTGCACAGGGATGTGCTTAAGTTCGAACTCCACATAATTCCTTTATATTTCCCTTCTAAAATGCCAGACTTTTGTGAATTGTTTAGAAGTGGTTTTGACCAGTAGCTCTTCTGAAGAACTTTTCAAAGCTTTCCTTCGGTTTTTGCCAGCTATTTTTCCCATCTCAGTTCAGTCATCATATCTGTTTTCCAACAAATGTTTTTTATGATGGGAATAGTTTTGCTTTCACTTAAGTTATTAATTTGAAGAGCAAAATGCTTCCAAACAGATAGCATCTGTCAACACACAGCACAACTAAAATACACACAGAAAGTTGGATCAAATTAAATTCAGATTAACGAATCAGATAAAAGGTTAGGCTACAGTGCAGAAGGTGCAGCATGAGAAACAGTCATTCGGTGGCTGATGAATGCATGAAAGTTTTCCATTTTGTTTTAAAAGTTACTAGAGTTGGGGCACATTTGAGGTCATAAGGAAGGTGGTTCCATCTGTGTGCAGCATAGTAGCTAAAAGCAGCTTCTAGCAAAGAGATTTACAAAAAGCAGGCTCAACTTATAACCAAGGTTATAAGGTTGCTGTAATCAAACCTTTACTTAAGAAGCCTTCTCTGGATCCAGATGACCCAATGAATTATAGACCAATATCTAACCTTCCGTTTTTATCTAAAGTCCTGGAGAAAATAGTGGCCATCCAAGTATGTGAGTATTTAAACACTAATGCTCTGTTTGAGGAATGTCAGTCTGGTTTTAGAGAGTATCACAGCACTGAAACTGCATTAGTGAGAGTTACAAATGATATTCTCATGGCCTCAGATAAGAAACTTGTGTCTGTTCTCTTGTTAGATCTCAGTGCTGCTTTTGACACAGTTGATCACAATGTTCTTTTAGAAAGACTTGAACATGTTGTAGGGATCAAAGGAACAACGCTAGGCTGGTTTAAATCCTACCTGTCTGACAGATTTCATTTTGTAAACGTACATGACAAATCGTCTTCATACTCCAGGGTTACTTGCGGAGTACCACAGGGTTCAGTGCTTGGACCAATTCTTTTTACTGTATATATGCTCCCAATTGGTAAAATCATTAGACAGCATGGGATAAACTTCCACTGTTATGCTGACGATACTCAGTTATATTTATCCATTAACCCTGATGAACCTAATCGGTTGGGTAGATTACAGGTTTGTTTTGAGGACATAAAAATTGGATGACTCAAAACTTTTTGCTTTTAAATCAAGACAAGACTGAAGTTCTCTTCTTTGGACCAGAAATCCAGAAAGGAAATTGCTTAGTCAATCACCCGACCTGAACGGCATTAAATTAGTCTCCGAGAACAAAGTAAGGAACCTTGGTGTTATCTTTGACCAGGACATGTCATTCAAATCCCAGGTTAAACAGGTTTGTAGGATTTTCTTTTTCCACCTTCGGAATATTGCTAAGATTAGAAGCATCCTTTCCAGGAGTGATGCTGAAAAACTAGTTCATGCATTTATTACATCAAGACTGGATTACTGTAATTCATTACTCTCAGGAAGTCCACAGAATGTAGTTAAAAGTCTTCAGCTTGTCCAAAATGCTGCAGCTAGAGTTCTGATGAGAATAAAAAGAGAGATCATATCTCTCCTGTCTTAGCTTCCTTACATTGGCTACCTGTTAAATTCAGAATAGATTTTAAGATCCTTCTTCTCACATATAAAGCTCTTAATAATCAAGGTCCATCATACATCAGTAATCTGATTGTTCCATACGTTCCTAACCGAGCACTTCGCTCTCAGACTGCAGGTTTACTGGTGGTTCCCAGAATATCTAAAAATAGGATGGGAGGCAGATCTTTTAGTTATCAGGCTCCTCTCTTGTGGAACCAACTCCCAGCTTTAGTCCGTGAGGCAGACACCTTGTCTACTTTTAAGAATAGGCTTAAAACATTTGTATTTGATAGGACCTATGGTTAAAATCTGATGTTAGCCTAGATCTGGACAAGTGGGGGAGTAGAGGGAGGTGGAGTGTACAGTCGGTAAAGACGGCTCTCCCTTGCCCTGACTCCAACATGCCTCCATCTAAAAGGCTAGGTTATCCAGAGTTATCTCTGTAGTTATGCTGCTATAGGCTTAGACTGCTGGAGGATACACTGACCACTTTTCACACTACTACTTTCTTCTATTCCTGCTATCTCAGCTGTTAACTTTATAAGTGTTTTTCTTCCCAGAAGAAGCTACAATGATGTTCTGCTGAGCTGTGATGGCCTCATGGAGGGGTCCATCTGCTTCAACACTGCTGCTAACCATTTAAACATTCTCCTTCTCCTGATAATAACATTTTACTTTCCTTGACATTGAATGTGCTACTACTAGTTTACCTGTTTAATTATAGATTCACTAGTATAAATACAATAAAGTTTATCTCTCACCAAATAGAATGATTATTAAGAAATCACAATGTAACCATAGAAACACCACTTTGTATATATGGTGTGTGGGTGGGTTGGTGTGTGTGTGTTTGTCTGCTCTGTCTTCTTGATCCCCAGTGAGTCGTGGTGGATGGCTGCTTATAATGAGCCAGGATTCTCTGGAGGTTTCTTCCTGTTAAAAGGGAAATTTCCTTTCCACTGTCGCTAAATGCTTGCTTAGTATGAGGATAGCTGTAAAGTCACTGACACTAGTCAGTGACTTGATGCAATTTGCTGGGTTCCTTATATAGCAAACGTTTTACTGATTGGCTTAATGAACTGGCCTGTATTGGAATGTTTACTGTGTGAAGTGCCTTGAGATGACTCTCGTCGTTATTTGGCACCTTGTAAGTAAACTTGTATTGAATTGAATAATCGGATGCAAAAACTGGACTTGTGATTGAGACTAGTTTACTCTTCTAAAGCACATCGTGAAGGGAGCTAAGACTTTTGCACAGTACTGTGTAGAACACGTTTAGAGGATTTTAATAATCACATTTAGTAATGTGCAGAGCTTATTTATATTGAATGTTTGCTTGTTTTTCAGGCGAGTGGCAGAGTTGTTCATGTTTGACTTTGAAATTAGTGGAATTCATCTGGATGACAAACTGGTGAGTTTTGCTTAAATGGTATGAAACCTTAACTTGTGTGAATTCCAACAACACTTCAGTTACACCTTTACCTTGGTCTTGCGTTTCCTGCAGAGGAAAGAGGCTGTCAGTCTTCACGTGAAGCTGCTGGATCTAAACAATGAGTTTCTGGTCGGATCCCACATGCCCAACCGCATCGCAAAGTCTGCTATTCCCGACCATCTGCATGTGCACTTTGCAAATGAGGGAAGCTTCATTCAAATTGGTGGATTACACGCAGACTCTCCTGATGATCTAGTAAGTGTGAACACTCAAACACTTCCCTAGTTGCCCAGCAGGTGGCACTCAGGTCATATTTCAGATTAGGAGGATGGATTTTTGTAAATTAACTTAGAAATGCTCACTTTCAAAAGGATGCAACTTTGTTTCTCATTGCAAAATCTAAATTATTTGAACATATCTCCATATTAACATACATATTTTTTATTTTGTATCCATGTTTATTTTTTACGTTTTTATTTCCTCATTTATTTGTCTGTATAGTAAGTTCTTTGTTGTCTTCTCTCTATTGTGCAGCTGCGAGAGATCGCCTACAGGATTTACCTTTATCCCAACTCAGATCTGATGGAGTGTCTGGAGGAGCTGCTGAAATGCAGATACAAACTGGCCAAACTGGTGGGCTATGAGACCTACGGACACAGAGCTCTGAAGGGAACCATGGCCAAAACACCAGGTTGATTCTCATTCAGGCGTTTTAACATTTTAAGTGTTTTCTTTTCTGCATTTTTTTAATGTTTTTTTTTCTTCTGTCTGCAGAAACAGTGATGAGTTTTCTGCAGCTGTTAACAGACAAGCTGTCGGATAGGTATGGTCTTCTTTGTGTCTTTAAAGGGACTTTACGGAGTTTTGAATTTTTATGCTCACGATTGCCCCCTCAGGCCAAAAGCGTAACGGCAGCTTCAATAGTAGGCTCGTGCACGAGGCGCGCATGCTGTACGTGCACACTCCTTAACGAAACATAATATATAACAGCTGAGACAGTCCCTTGTGTGTGTGTGTGTGTGTGGCCCAGAGGACAGGAGAACGCGCAGCTAATTAATTAAATAATTTGGTTCTGTACCTTTCTCTTCAGCACAGCTGACAAAAGTTTAAGATGGGTCAGTCCTCCTGCATGCTCAGATCATTCCCTTCCCTTACTTGAAAAATTGTTCCAAAATGAAAGTTGAACCCACATCTTTTTTATCTGTGAATTCAATGCCGTTCGGCGAGTCTCAAATAAAAATTTGGGCATCTTACTGTAAAAAAATATACCATTAATGTAAAAAAGAAACTCTAAATAAACTATGTTGACATCCAGAATCGAACTCGGGTCTTCTGCAGGAGAGTCTGACGTCTTACTAGGTGAGCTAAACCACCAGTGACATCTTTTGCATCTGTAACATTTATATTCTTGATGACAGCTGAAACAACGTTCAAAGAATGGTTTGGAGCAAAAATGGCTATTTTGTTGCTAATTTGCAGGAAATATCTAGAAGAGAGTTCTACAGAAAGTAGCAAAAGGGTCCTCAGAAATGTAGCTATGTTCATCACTAGGCGTTAGGAACAGCAACAAAGACTAAAGCTACGGATAGCATACGGGCTATGCCTGAGCGTGAACGCGCATGAAGCAGCCTGCTCGACCCGAGCAGCTCTCTTTTTCTGTGATTTTAAAGAAAAACAGGCAATCACAGTAAAAATGCCAGGGCTCATTCTACAGGACCAGGGCATTGCAGGAGAATGTATGAAGAAGAATTTTATTATTTCTATACATGTTTTGTTTGTCAAACTTCCATAATGTCCCTTTAAGGATCATAATACATAAAAATAAACATAAAACACAAAAACATCTAAAAGTTTACTGGATTTGGTGCGTGTGTGTGTGTGTGTGTGTGTGTGTGTGTGTGTGTGTTGTAATACATCAATTTATTAAGAAACTAGACAAGTTTTCAATTCATGTGGCTATGACTCGTTTTTATCACTTCTCCATGCGTGAAGAAGTGATAAAAACAGCCTCGGGCTTTTTGCGTTCCCGTTTTCTGCAACTGTATTCTTCATGTGGTAGATTACTCAAACCGTTCAGAAGTATGTGCATCAGGTGGACCGGGAGACTCTACATTACCCACAGGAATGATCGTGAGCTTGTTAGCCTGGCAGCCGGTCCAGGGTGTTCCCCTGCCTTCAGCCAAATGCATGCTGGGATAGGTTCTGGCCCCTGTTGACCCTGAGCTGGAGGAGGTGCACACAGCCAGGAATTAATGCCTCCAGTCAGCTAACTCACAACTTTTTTTTTCCTTTTATCTCAGAACTGCAAAAGATTTTCAGATGATGAGAGACATGAAGAAGAAACTCAACCCTCGTAATTCAGTGAGTGTTTAATTTTAAAGTAAAGCTGTTTTTTAAACCAGCGATGTGGTGCGTTCATGCAGGTGCCTGCCTTTAAATTAGAATATCATGATGAAAAAGTTGGTTTATTTCAGTGATTTAATTTTTTAAAGAATTTGTATATTAGATTCATTCATTACACACAGACTGATATATTTCAAATGCGTATTTATTTCATTTTGATGATTACAACTGGCAACTAAAGAAAATCCCAAATTCAGTATCTCACAATATTAGAATATTGTAATAAAGTTCAATATTGAAGACCCCTGGTGCTACACTCTAATTAGCGAATTAACTCAGAACACCTGCAAAAGCCTTTAAATGGTCTCTCAGTCTAGTTCTGTAGGTTACACAATCATGTGGAAGACTGCTGATCCGACAGTTGTTTAACCCTCCCACTGTCCTAATGGTTGACCCCGTGAGGAAAGTTGACCATTGAGCAGGATTGATGGTTTATCCCTTTAGGTCCACGTGGCAGGGGTGAGGAGTGAGCACCACCTCACCCCTGCCACGTAGACCTCAAGGTATAAACCATCAATCCTGCTCAATAGTCAACTTTCCTCACAGGGTCACCCATTAGGACAGTGGGAGGGTTAAAAGATGACCATTGACACCTTGCACAAGGAGGGCAAGTCACGAAAGGTCATTACTAAAGAGGCTGGCTGTTCACAGAGCTCTTAATAGAGGAGAAGGGAAAGACGAGATGTGGTAGAAAAAATTGTTCAAGCAATAGAGATAATCACACTCTGGAGAGGATTGTGAAACAAAACCCACTCAGAAATGTGGACTGCAGCTGGAGTCTGTGCTTCTAGAATCACCACGCACAGACGTGTGCAAGACCTGGTTTCAGCTGTCGCATTCTTTGTGTCAAGCTACTCTTGAACAAGAGACAGCATCGGAAGCGTCTCACCTGGGCTAAAGACAAAAAGGACTGGACTGCTGCTCAGTGGTCTAAAGTTATGTTCTGATGAAAGTAAATTTAGCATTTCCTTTGGAAATCAAGGTCCCGGAGTCTGGAGGACGAGAGGAGAGGCAAAGAATCCACGTTGCTAGAGCTCCAGTGTGAAGTTTCCACAGTCCGTGATGGTTTGGGGTGCTTTTATCTGCTGGTGTTGGTCCATATGTTGTGTTTTCTTAGGTCAAAGGTCAACACAGCTGTCTACCAGGAAGTTTTAAAGCACTTCATACTTCCTGCTGCTGACCAACTTTATGGAGATGCAGATTTCATTTTCCAACAGGACTTGGCACCTGCACACAGTGCCAAAGCTACCAGTACCTGGTTTAAGAACCATGGTATCCCTGCTATTGGTTGCCCAGCAAACTCACCTGACCTTAACCCCATAGAAAATCTATGGGTTAGAGAGAAGAGGAAGATGTAATATGCCAGACCCAACAACTCAGAAGAGCTGAAGGTCACTATCAGAGCAACATGGGCTCTCATAACACCTGAGTAGTACCACAGACTGATGGACTCCTTGACACGTCACATTTCTGCAGTATTCCAGGCCAAAGAGCCCCAAATAAATACTGAGTGCTGTACATGCTCATACTTTTCATGCTCATACCTTTCAGTTGGCCAACATTTCTAAAATTCCTCTTTTTTTTTGCATCGGTCTTAATTGATAATATTTTGAGATACTGAATTTGGTATTTTCATCAGTTGTCAGTTATAATCATCAACATTAAAACAAATAAACATTTGAAATATGTAATTATGTGTGTAGTGAACGAGTCTAATATACAAGTTTCCCTTTTTTGAATGAAATTACTGAAATAAATCAACTTTGTCATGATCTTCTAATTTTACAACCAGCACATGTTCAACGCCTGTGTTAAAGGCGCTTTTCAGCCATTTTTAAATGTCTCTCAGTAAAGGCTATAAATAATGTTTTTGATCGCTTCCTGAATGACTTCAGTTTGCAGGACTGATAAGCTAACGACTAGGTTGAACACTGCCAAGACAATGGTGGGTTGCTGTTGCTTTAGAACACCTCCTCTTCTTCAAAATGTCAGTGTTTTAGTTTGAATATAATCTTATAAACCTTTATCCACAGTTATTTAGAAGGATATAGAGATGTAGAACTGGTTCTGGTGGTTTCAGGAGTCTCGTCCTACGGGTTTTTGCTAAAATAAATGTAATGTTGCCCCTCGGGGATAAATAAAGTTTTTAATGATTCTGATGTAAAAGTGATGGCAGGTTTATATGATACCATACGCATGAACAGTTGAGAAAAGTAGAATGGATTCTTGTTAAGCTAACGGTCATACACTTTGGCTTTTGCTCCACTGAAATTAGCCGTCAGCTGACCGGTCCTTTTGACCATAAACTATTTCTCTGAACAGAGGCAGTTTTAGAAGCAAAGTAGTTGTTTTTTTACAGTTTTTACACACAAACATACTTCAACATGTCCCCAAAAAAACATTTCAATATTAATTACACATTAAAAACTAATTCCTTTTTTGCTGCTGTGTTTTTACTCATCGTTTGGTGTGCTTTGGATTGTTTGACATTACCAGTGTTGATGTCTTCCAGGAGCTCATGCCTTGGGATCACCCGTTCCTCAGTGGCGTCCTGCGGGCTGAAAGGTGAGAGTTAAATTCTTCTGAAACTTGTTTTTCAGCCTGCTTTATTTGAAGAAGTCACTAAGAAGTCTGGATTTTTAGTGATGGGTCTGGATGATTGTATTTCCATATTGTCTGGAAGTGTGTGGTGTCGTTGCCTCCCAACTCTTCTTCTGATGTCACTTGTTACAAAAGGTGTTATGGGAGACGCATGGGAGCTCTCTGACTTCAGGATTGTCTAGTCACTATTAAAATCTGATTATCTCCAATTCCTGAGCCACTTTCGTTCATGTGAAGTAAGATTTAATTAAATATTGAAAATAAATAACTAGAGTGAGAAATTATAGTGTTGAAAATGCACCAGCAGGTCAACAACCATGTAACAAAATGTCCAGATTTGCAAATAAAAGAAATGATTTCTTAGTATGTCATCATTGTTCTCTAACAATTAAAATAAAACAAAAAGGTTGAAATAAAAGAGACTCCCAAAGTTAAAGAAGTTGTGATGGGGGGGGGGGGGGGGGGGGGGGGGTGTTACTGAGTGGATCTGGTGTCTGAACTGATCCGGCTGGTCCCTAATATCCAGGGATGTGTATTTTTGAAATTCTGGCAATACGATACACATCACGATACAGGGGAGACGATACGATATATCACGATATATTGCGATACATTCAGTCAGACGTTACAAACAATTTATTTTACTGAATTTATTGTAAGAATGTTCAGTAAACAGTCCAAACTGATACGTAACATGTTTAACATGAGGTATATGAACCATGAGGGAAGGATTTACATTTCAATGGTGGAAACAAAACTCGTTGCACACTGCTGCCAACTAGCGGCTGGCGATTGAATTGCACAAAACGAAAAGAAAATACACAAATGTTTGCATGTGAATTCTTTCAATAATTTGATACACGGCTTTCGAATATCGATGTAATAATTACAGGGAAAATATCACGATATATTGCCATATCGATATTTCCGATACACGGCTTTTGAATATCGATATAATATTGCTGGAAAAAATATCATGATATATTGCCATATCGATATTTTCTTACATCCCTACTAATATCTATTATTTAATAATTCAGTCAACTTTGATGTTTGTTTCCTGACTAAATTATCCCTGAGTGAGGAAAAATAGTTGATAATCACCTGAGCAGACAAATGAAAAAAATAAAAAGTGTGTTTGAGTCCTCAGTCAGCTGGAAGGAAATGAGCTCGGAACATAACAGTAGTTTGTGTGTGTGTGTGTGTGTGTGTGTGTGTGTGTGTGTGTGTGTGTGTGTGTGTGTGTGTGTGTGCGTGCTTGCGTGCGTGCGAGCATTAGAGCCTGTGCGTATGCACGCATGCAAGTTTGCATGATTGTGTGCGTATGTGTATGAGAACTTGTGTGTGTGGTGTACGCACACATGTGTACACGTCTGTCCATGCATGTCTGTGCACATGTTTGTGTACTTGCATGTATGTGCTTTCTAGAGTGTGTGTGTGTTATTTATCACTGATAAATGGATGGATTAAGCTCTGACCCTGCCTGAGTCGTGTTACATTGGTTCATATATGTCATCTGTATTCGGGCTGGACGATATACTGTACAAGAAAAGTATATCGATAAAAAAAAGTTATATTGATCGATATCGATAATTATTGAAAAATATATGTTAAATTGTAGAAAATATATTTTACGTGCAGCCCTGGCCATTTTATTTTTGGTATTTTTATTTTTTTCTCCGCCTCTTCTCGCTGTGACATCTTGCTGCCTCGTGCTCTGTTTTGGCTTGAGAGGGGAGGGCCTGGTGGTGCAGCATGCCCGTAGGTTATAATGAAACCTTACAATGACAAAAGGAAACTTTTTAATCGAAATTTTATTGACTCATTTTTTTTTCTATCGCATCACATGGCTATCGATAGATAAACTCAACTACTGAATTATCGTCCATCCCTAATCTGTATATAATTGGACGTTTTTCATCAGCCTGTAATACTCATTTTATGGCCACATTTTCTGTTCGTTACAGTTTTTTTTAGTATAAATTCATCTTTATTGACTGACGTAAAATTTAATGTCAGATATGTATTTAAACAGAAACTAAATGGTTAAATCACACAGCTGAGTGGAGTTGATTTTGTGTTCATGGTAGAGACTTCTGAAAGAAGGTTTTGCCCTAAGATGTTTGCTTCTTTCATTTGTTACGCTGTGGTTGGCGGTGTTCTCTCCGCAGATACAACATCGAGCCTAGCCTGTACAGCCCTTACCTGTCTCTGGGCGCTTGTATGGACGGCCTGAACAACCTTTTCTCTCAGCTCTACGGCGTCTCCCTCATGTCTGAGCCTCCAGGAGCTGGTGAAGTGTGGAGCGACGACGTCCGCAAACTGGTGAATTAGATCTCCTGTGCTTGTGCAAATCATCATTGGCGTTGGTACTTTATGGGAAAACCTTTGTGTGTTAAGGCTGTTGTGCACGAGACGGAGGGACTACTGGGATACATCTACTGTGACTTCTTCCACCGGCGAGATAAACCTAATCAGGTGTGACGTTATAACCCAAATCATTGCCCTCTTCTTGTTTTCTGCACAAAAACATTGATTGAAGCTGTCGGATTTTATCAGATAGCAATGAAAACTCAAAAATAACACACACGTGTTTGATCTTGGGGAAATGGTCTGATTTTACATTCAAGAGAAAAAGATTTATAAACTTTGAGTTTGTAGTGTGACAGCATTTGTCTGCTACTAAATATTTAGAGTTTGATCATTAGCTAAAGACCTTTAATCTGAATTTAAACTTTCATTATTAATAGGTTTGTGAATTTTGCTTGTAGCCAATAGAAAACATGCAGATTTGTTATTTGTAGAGAACAGTCGCTCCTTTTTCACAGTTTTATTGACCACCTTTTTGTGATTAGGTTTTATCTTGTGAGGCTGGACTAATGAACATTAGCAAAAGCTAATATTTTTAATGGTTTTCCTGTTCGGAAGCTGCTTTCAGTCCTGGTGAAGTCTGTACAAACTCCTCTTCAGAGATGCTTTTCCTATTTTAATCCTGGATCCTCAGTTTCTTCTATTTGAGCCACATTATTCTTCTGTGTACCAACGATTGATCCTGTTTTATTCATTGTACAAACATATATAATCCTAGTTTCAGATTAGCTGCTGCTAAAAGCTTGTTCCTCTCTTTCTAACAGGACTGTCACTTCACCATCCGCGGTGGCCGCTGGTCACAGGAAACGGGTCAGTACCAGCTGCCCGTTGTGGTTCTGATGCTCAGCCTGCCTCACCCCACAAAGAGCGCTCCCACCCTGCTCACTCCTGGCATGATGGAGAACCTCTTCCATGAGATGGGGCATGCCATGCACTCCATGCTGGGACGCACTCGCTACCAGCACGTGACAGGTGAAGAACACACACACACGGAAAGGAGGGCAGGATTTAGTACATTAAGTGTGTTTGACATTTTTTGAGTTTTTTGTCTCTAAAAGGTGACTGTTGTCCCAAATGTCACAGGCTAGACTTACTTCTTTTGATGCAGCGCTGAAGGGTTTTTGTTACGGTGCACCGGCTTTAAGAAGGAAAGTGGATCTGATCAAGTGTGAGCCCTGAGGAAAAGTTTAGATGAGACCGAGTTACCGAAGCTGCTGTTCTAGGCCGTTTCACATGTCAGAGGAAGTTGACGAATGCCTGGTAATTCAAGCTCTCTGTGTTTCAGTCTAATAACGGCATCCCGTAACTCGACTGGAGGCTGTTTCTTTAGTGGACACCATGTTTACAATGTTCAGGCATGCAGCTCGTCAGAGTTTCATAGTTGATCGTAACTCGGTGTTTTTTTTTTTTAAGATTATAAAAACATGGTGTCTGTTTTTAACTTAAATTTTGCACATCACGTTTGCCCACTATCTGCTCCGTCTCAGCATCAGATTCACTAAGTAAACAGTGTTAACGATAAGCTGGTGCTTGGATGTGAAGTGCTATCTGCTTTTATAATCATTCAGCTTTATATTCTGAGTGTAAAACGACAACAGTTTTATTTTATATACTGACTGGACAGTTCGTTAATGCAGCATCTGAAACAGCACAGGCCACACTTTTCCTGACATCCCAGCCCTCTTTTTGTGAGGGCAACTGATTTTTCCTCTTTTTGTGTCCTTAAGATCCCAATCCCACTAACTGACATTTAAAGACTTGTATAAAGATGTATAATGTGTTTGGTGATCAAAATGGCAACTCGATGATTGATTTTGTTGTTTTGTCTGATCTGCGTCCGCGTGTCTTTGGGTGAAGAGAGGGGCGGAGCTTTCAGCCGACCACTACCTCGTGGTGAGGTGGGTTCAAGAGTTAAGGAGGATGCTGGTCAGACCTGGCAGACCCAAACGTGTTATGAGGGTCTCCTGGGAACGTCTGGCAGAGTTTTCTGTAAGAAGGAGCTTCAATTTCCACCTCCAACATAACTTTGAATGTGTCCCGGAAAAGGTGGGGGACATTGAGTCCGAGTGGGCCATGTTCCGTGACTCCATCGCCAACGATGGAGTCAACGATGGAGCTGGATGGAGGTGGTCGGTGCCTGTCATGACAGGAACCTCTGAACCTGCGGATGGACACCGGCAGTCAGGGATGCCGTCAAGCTGAAGAACAAGTCTTATTAAATCTTTGTGGACGGTGGGACTGGAGGCAGCTGATGGGTATCGGCAGTCCAAACAGAATGCGACTCGGGTGGTCATGGAGGCAAAAAACTGAGCGTGGGAGGAGTTCAGTGAGACCATGGAACAAGACTTCTGTTTGGCTTGAGGAGATTCTGGTCCATCATCCAGCACCCTAGGAAGGGAAAGCTGTGCGGTACCAACACTGTTTACAGTAAGGGCAGTGTGCTGCTGACGTTGACCCGGGACATCGTGGCTTGGTAGGCGGAGTACTTAAAAGACTTTCTCAATCCCACGTCTTCCAGTGAGAAAGAGTTTGGGGACTTTAAGTTGGGCTCTCCAATCCCTGGAGCCAAGGTCACTGAGGTGGTCAAAACACTTTTTGGTGGAAAGGCTCTGGTGGTGGACAAGATCTGCTAGGATTTCCTTAAGGCTCTGGATGTTGTGGGGCTGTGTGGATGACGTGGCTCTGCAGTTTTGCAAGGGCATCGGGGGCAATTCCACTAGACTGGCAGACTGGATTGGCAGGGTTTGTTCCAACTGCAGGGGGAATCACACTCTTGAGCCTCCCTGGTAAAGTCTGTTCAGGGATTCTGGAGAGGAGGGTCCGTCGAACAGTCGCACCTTGGATTCAGGATGAGCAATGTTGCTTTTGTACTGGCTGTGGAACGCTGGATTGGCTCTATATCTTTAGGGGGGTCCTGGAGAGTGTGTGTGTGAGCTCGCCCAACCAATCTACATGTGTTTTGCAGATTTGCAGAAGACGTTTGACCACATCCCTCAGGGGGTACTCTGGGAGTATGGGGTATTAGGCCCTTTGATACGGGCTGTTGTTTAAGCCCTCCTTGTTCGACTGGTGCCAGAGCATGGTCTTCATTGCTGACAGTTAGTCGAGCTTGTTTCCGGTGAGCCAAGCTGTTGAGGGGATCCATTTTGGTGGCCTAGGATCAGGTCTCTGCTTTTTGCAGATGATGCCTTCTCCAGTTCAGGGACGAGGTGCGGGTGTTGCACTGCTCTGTCGTGGTGAAGAGAGAGCTGAGCTTGAAGGCAAATCTCTCGATCTACATTCCAACCCTCACATATGGTCACAAGCTTTGGGTAGTGACTGAAAGAATGAGATCACGGATACAAGCACCTGAAGTAAGTTTTCTCTGCAAGGTGGCTGGGCTCTCCCCTAGAGAAAGGGTGAGAAGCTCAGTCATCCAGGAGAGGCTCAGAGTAGACCTGCTGCTCCTCCATATTGATGGGAGCCAGTTGAGGTGGCTCAGGCATTTACTTAGGATGCCTCCTGGATGTCTCTCTGGGGATTTTCCAGGCACGTCCTTGGGAGTAGACCCGGAAGACCCAGGACACACTGGAGGGACTGTCTCTCGGCTGGCCAGGAAACGCTTTAGGATTCACTTTGAAGAGCTGGCCCAAGTGGCTGGGAAGAGGTAATTCTGGGCCTCTCAGCTTAGGCTGTTGCCCCTGTGACCTGACCCTGGATAAGCAGAAGAGAATGGATAAAATGTCAGCTTTTGTGTTTTCAGTTATCTTCACGAGTAGCAGTGTTACGTGTGTCTTCTGTGCATGGTCTCTAAAGGAAAAGGTGAACATCAGCTGGACTTGCTGTGTTTGTTCTCTGGGCTCTTTCAGGAACCAGGTGTGCAACTGATTTTGCAGAAGTTCCTTCCATCCTCATGGAGTACTTTGCCACAGACTATCGAGTCATCAGTCAGTTTGCGCGTCATTATGAAACTGGACAGGTAACCCTGAACCCTCAGGATGAAAAACGAGATCTGAGGCCAAAGTTTACGTTTAGGTTTCATCACATTTAGTGACAGGTTTGCTCTGTTTCCCCAGCCTTTACCTCAAAGTATGGTTGCTCGCCTGTGTGAGTCCAAAAAGGTGTGTGGAGCAGCGGACACCCAGCTGCAGGTACAGATTTACAAACCCTAAAGCAGGGTTATTCAATTACGGGCCTCGAGGTCCGGTATCCAGAACGTTTTGGTTTCAACCGTGCTTCAACACACCCGATTTCAATTAATAGATGATTAACAGGCTTCTGCAGAGCCTGATGAGCTACTGGACAGGTGATTCAACCACTGAATCAAGTGTGTTGGACCAGAGAAACCACTAAAGCGTGCTGAATACCGGCCCCCTGGAAACCGATGTGTCACATTTCTGTCAGGATTCACATGTCGTTGACCTGCTCTGGATTTATAGACATGAACTTTTTTTATGAAGTTGATACAATTTTTTCTTCTCATAGATAAATATATGTTTACATTACAGATTTTCTATGCTGCCCTGGACCAGATTTACCATGGTAAACCACAGAATCGCTCCACCACAGACATCTTAAAAGAGATGCAGGAGAAGTTCTACGGCTTGCCTTATACGCCTAATACGGTAAATCCCAGCTGCTGTCATAGTTTTCATATGAAATCTGTCTTAAGTGAAACAAATCCCATATTTCTAGATTAGTTACATCCTGGGAGGCAGATTGAAATCACAGAAACAACACACCTTCGATTTGAGCATTTAAGTTTTCTTCTCACCTTCCTGTAATGCTTTTCCTTTCCTTGTTTGCACAGCAGCGTTTAAGGGATTTAAGCTCTTTTTGAAGCCCTGCTACAATAACAAAGCAGAGGGTGATTTCTGTAAGCTCCACTATGGGACGCATTTGAAACCAAGGCCCGACCGATATGCTTTTTTTGGGACCGATACCGATATAAAACTTTTAACAAAGGCCGATAGCCGATATAATGGCCGATACGTCTCCCTCACAAAAAAACAGAAATAAAAATAAAAAAATTTCTTAAGCTTAAACCCTTCATTCTCTGCCTTTTTGATGCAAACTTATTTCTCTATTACACACCAAAGAACTGTCTCAATAACTCACTCGGGTTTCCAAGTAATGCAAATATGATTTATGTAGCAGGTCTCAAATACAACAGAACACACAAACTCAGTCACAGCATAAATCTAACATTCAAGTTTTTTCTTGTAAACTGTGGTCTCCACTAATACATTTTAACTTAAAGGAATATTCCACCACTCGGTAAAATTGTGTCTTGTTAAGATTCCCCAGAGTTAGAAAAGTCAGAAAAAGCATTTTATAACCAGCCCAATATGATCTGGCAGCAGTTGGTTTTCTTAGTTTAGCATCAAACAATGTAAGTGAATTCACACACATTGTAGTGTTTTTTTATGTAGGTGAATGCAAGCCTTCCATCGCTTTATGCTAAAACAACTGGTTACAAAATGTTTTTCTGACTTGGCTAACTCTGGGGAATCTAACAACACACACAAGTTTAGGGACAGAAGATCCCTATAAGAATATTAAAATAATAAAAATGCAGCAATAAATAAAACGTAATACTTGTGCTTTGTAACAAAGTAACACTCTGTGGAAGTTAACTTGGTGAACTTATATAAAATATAAGGCTGAAAAAAATACAATAGATTTAATCTATTGTAGAGAGGAATGTTTATTTTCTCGTAGTATTGGGACTCCCTGCTATCACAGCGCTTCATTGCCTTGTAGCCAATCCCCCCTCCCCCCCTTTTTTTTTTGTTCAGGGTAACTTTTCAATACAAGGCCAGGAGGCACACAATAAACTTAGGAAGCATGTTGAGGGGAAACATACTTTACCGTTCAACTTACCACTGACACGACAAATATGCTTAAAACTGAAGACTTGCCTCCTTCTTCCTCATCACCGTCGTCGCTGCTTGACTGAGGCCCTGTCCTCACGTAGCCGGGGATCTGCCAAAACGTAGATACTTCTCTACGTTTTGGCCTGTCATCTTGAAAACGGAGTTTTTTCACACGAAAACGGATCTTTTTAAAAACTCCGGCCAAAGTGAAGATCTGCGTTTTCTCCATTTTGGGTGTCTGCGTGTGGACAGACAAAACCGGAGTTTTAAGGTCCGCAACGTCACTTTCCACGACAAAAAAATGCTGACATCACGTGTGCGACGGCACACGCTGTGCCGACAGCGTGGAAGCCCTCAGAGCTGCGCTCGCTTTATCAATTGTCCAAGCGCTTTTTGCTTGTTTGTTTTTGCAAGCGGAATTACTGCTCCCTGCGGAAGACCACAGACGAAGGACGAGGTTAAGAACGGGGGAAGTACTGCCGACTACAGGTCTGGCATGTCCTTAACAACATATTTATCCGGGTACGTGTGGACAGAGTTTTTTTCTAAACAAGGTGGTGTGGATGCAAGTTTTTGGAGGGGCAGATATTCGTTTTTTTAAAAACCCGGCTACGTGTGGACTAGGTCTGAATTGCTCCTGCTGCTCCGCTGCATGTGTGCTGTGACGGTGGCTCCACCCCCCACCCCAAGGAGTGGAGCCACACAACATGAGTTCATAAAGCTGACGCCATCTGCTGGATAGATAGCGCAATATCGGCCATATCCGCCGTCTTTTTGGCCGATAGCCGATAGTGTTAATGACCCCAATATCGGCCGGCCGATGTATCGATCGGGCCCTATTTGAAACTCTTCCTAGCAGCCCTTTAATGAAAACAGGACTTTTATTTCCCCACTCGTGCTGCTGTGGGTTAAACGGGAGGAAGCCAGGAGGTAAAATGGGATCTGAAACGCGGTCATAATTCTGCCAGAAGTCGTCCTCATGCAGCATTCGCTCTGAGCTGTAATTATCAGAAAACAGCTGCTTGTTTCTTCAGAGATCGTGGTCATGGAGTTTCTAACTGTTGCAGTAACAGAGCACTGGATCATTAGCACAAGTGGAAACTTATATTTAAAATTTACTTTACCATTAGTTTATTTCTTGGAAACGCAGCATAGGAAAAGTTTCCACAGCAGAGAGAATAGGTTATAGAGAGGCAGAGATGATGAACAGTCGAGGTGGTTTATAGAAGAGGGGCCATCAGCTGTGAGGAACATGAACCACATGCTCAACTTTTAAGATGAAGGTGAGATTTGGACAGAAATGAAAGGAAAGGAAGACGTTCTGCCTGCTGTGTTGACATTTTAGCAGCTCTCAGCTGGCGTGTTTATCTCCTGCTTAAAACCTCATCTTGTTGCACAATCTCTTATAAAAACGATGGAGCTGCAAAGCAACATCACGACCAAAAGTTCAGTTAGGAAAGACCCCAAAGAACAGAACATCTTTCACTGAAGGAAAACAAAGGGAAGAGCCTTCAGTTACTCTGCATCTTCTCAATGTGAGGATCAAAGATGCCTCTGCTGACATGTGACCCACACGTGCTCCCTCTGAAAAGTTGACATTAATCATGTAAGGGGAGGCAAAGGGATTAAAAACAAAAGTTTGGGCATCTGGAAATCATTTTCAGAGGTCTGCTTAAAGCGTTTTCAACCCAAACAACCAAACAGTCCTCTAATAGCTTTTTATTTGTAATCGGCGTGTCAGCTGCTGTAAACCACACAATGCTGAGGAGGTAAAGAGTCTTCTCGTGGAAAGTTGAAGAATTCTATTTCTTAACAACAGCTTTATCCTTTTGCATTTTTTAAAATAATCTGTTAAGGATTTTTGTCCTTTATTTACAAATGAAGCAGCTTAAACAGGCTTCTGGTCTCAAGAAATTCCACTTTAACGCTAATGATTGTCAGCTCAATCTGCCGCTTTACCAGGGGGTGGGCAGCTTGCTTTTGCCGCTCCTTGATTGCGTGGAGGAAATTAAGTTATGGGTGAGCTCCAATTATTTGCACTTAAATGAGGGCAAAACTGGCCTTCAACTTGTTCGAAACTCAACGGCAAGATTCTTGTCCGGTGTCGGTACAGGATCTGCTCGGGTGCAGGATCGGCTCGGGGTCCTTCCACTGCTGATGACGTCACATTACTGCAAATCTACTCGGCTTTCACACATACGTTTTGGAAAGACATCAGCAGTTTTGTTAATAAATTCTTGTTTGTTAACACCTAAATGTTTTCTTTATAATTGTAGTTTGTTAATAAAACACCATATTATCTTTGTTTTGTAAAGAATGTGAAACTGCATAAAACCAACATCAGACTGACAAAAAATAGAACAGTTCTTATATGTGAAGCCATATCTGTTTGTATTAATGTGGAGTTCGTCTGTATATTTCCTTAGTAGTTATCTAAATACATTCTTTGACTCAAAATACCTTTCAATAAAGTTCTTATATTTTATTTTGCCCCATTTCATCAACATCAAGAGCTTTTGAGGGTCACCGTTTATCATTTGCTTATATTTTACATTTCCTTTAGAAATTCAAACATATTTTCTCCAAAAACTGTTGATTTTTGGAGTACAGGACTACAACCGCTAAGACTACGACCGCAAATTTGTTCTGACCAATCAAAATCATAACGTGATAACGTCACTTCTGTAAGCTTCATGTTCAGCCAATCAACTACTTTGACGTCATCCGCAGTCGAAGGACCCCGAGCAGATCCTGCACCGACACCGGTACTAGGAGGAATTCTGTATTTGCCCAACTTCACTGGCTCCCATTTGAGTATCGGGTTAAGTTTAAAACCCTGATGCCCTACAGGTCACTGCCCCCAACTATCTCTCCTCACTGCTTTATAGATACAACCCCTCAAGGGCCTTGTGCTCCCAAGACAGGGAACTCTTGGAAGTGCCACACTATATACAAATCTAGGGGTGATGGTGCATTTTCTGTGGTGGCTCCAAGCTTATGGAACGCCTTGCTTTTGCTTGTGAGGCAGGCACCATCCCTCCAGTCCATCAAGTCTTGTTTAAAAACACACTTTTACTAATTGGCCTTTTCCTGTTGAGTCACAAGTCAGTCATTGTATCATTACTTATTTTATCTTTTTAATGTTTGAGTGTATATATTTTTTTTTTTTTTACCATGCTCTTGTCTCATTTTGTTTTATTGCGATAGTGTACAGCACCGTGGGCTGCTACAATGGTAGTGGAAGGTTTTATAGAAATAAAAATGATGATGATGAAGCTGCTGAGTCAGGGCTGTGCAGAGCGAACTCCGGTTAGCCTGAGTTTAGATGAGCCGTGACTTTACTCGGGAGTGCTTTTCACTCTTATTAAAGTCTCCTCAGCCCAGAGGAGTCGTGTCTGCTTGACGCTTTGGACCCGGAGTGTTTTTCCTGCTGTTGGATGAGGCCACAGAGCTTTAAACTCCTAAACAGCTGCTGCAGAGTTCGGAACACTTTGCCTTCCACTGTCATCATTTTTATTACTTGCATGAAAATAGATCATCTTAACAGCCATATCAGCCATTGTTCGACTTGTTGGATGAACATTTCCTTCCTCTGTTAATAGAATGAATGAAACTGTGATTGTGTTTTTCTTTCTTTTTTTTTTCTCTTAATGTGTATAAATTAAAAAGCCTTCTGCAGCCAGACTGCTCATACTGACAGCTTGGCATCCTGACTGGATAAAGATCAATACGGAAATACGAACTCGGTG